TTGGGATCGCGAACAAGAGATGTTTTAACCAAAAGATCGATGTGCGTTAGTTTTTTGTTAAACAAAATAGCAAGTTAGCAGCCAAATTTTAGTCCATTGTGCACCTATGTGAATCATTTGCATGTATGAGTTAATGACTCTCGATACCCATTTATATGTATCTTGGAGGCTGCAAAAGACCATAAACTTATTTGATTTTAATTAATAAAATATGACCAATTATAACCATAAAATAAAAACTCCAGAAATATATATAACCAATGGCATAACTTGAGCTAACAAATCTATCACAGAAAAACAAACATACTACTTACAGGATAGTCTCTACGAGGAGATTCAAGTACTACTGAAAACGAATTATACAAATAATGACAAAATTTGGTATGTCGAATAATAAAAATTCAACGAAAAAAAAAACAAAGATTAACTCTTGTATAGTTATTGCAACATATGCATATATAATATAATAATATATGACTAATTATTTATCCTCCATTATAATATGGTAGTACTTTGTGAGATTTTCTCCATTTTGAATTCTCTGTGTCCTCCTTAATTGTAGCTAGGGTTATAATAGTAAATGTCATCTTATTTTCTAATAAGTAAAAAATAATAATAATTTTATTGCCTGCAAGATTTGAACCTCGGTTGCTTTAAACAGAGACAAGGCTGTACCCAATCACACTACATTAATTTGTTGTATGTCTTTAAATTAAAAACACACATGAAGCTAAAATCGGAAAATCACAGAACTTTTCAATGGTTAGCTAGCCAAGTAAAACTCCTATAAGTACTTATTGATGTTCGATACTTCAATTTTTATATTGTGATTATTTTAATATTTTTTTTAAGGTGAAATTCATTAGTTAAATAAGGAGTTAAGAGTTAAACAAGTTACACAACGAAGGCACATTCAAGCACCAGAGACAACAAGATAAACAACCCCTAACTTCGAAGACACAAACATAAACAAACCAATAAAGAACAACATGGCCAAATAAGGATAACTTTAAAATCACAAATCAAATATCAATAGTTCGAATATTGCATATCAAAATCCAGTATTGAATATGCATAATTCTTATTGATTTTTAGAACTACTATGAAGCAATTATATTCATATCTTTGTGCGATTACACTGGTCCTTTGAACGTTTTAGCCTGGTAACTGCTAAGTTTTAAACCCCTTTTTAATCTGGCATGATTGGATCCAACAATAATTATACGAGGTTAAGTTTAATATGTTTGTTCATTTCACCCTTTTTATGTGTTCATGAATATGTTGGGCAAAGACACGTCAACATATACACTCTACACAATATATAATACTGGAATGAGAAAATTGTTTCCCCATTTCAAATTTTATATATCGAGACTGAAAGTATGAATGATATTTTTGTCTTCAAAATTATTTATCTGTATTATTTATAGAAAAATAGAAAAAATTGGGATTTGAACCAATGTATCTTTCAACAAAGACAAGACTCATAACCATGATTGTCAACCCGAGTTTGACTCGGCTGATCGAACCAATTATTCACAAACCCGAGTATCGTACTAAGCGCGGAAGGCCCAATCGGTTATCTACCTAGGCCGACCAAACCCTGGAAAACCCAATGAAATCAAGAAATTCGTCTGATTCAACCAACTAATCCGAGCACCGGACCACTTCAAAACGACATCGTTTTCAACAAATCGTATTCGTAGCTCCATTTTCGTAGCATCCTTTTCCTAATCACAAACCCTACAACAACAAACATAAAAAAAATCTCATGTTTGACTATCTCACCGTCTCTTCTTCCTTTAGGTTCGACAGGCGGCAATACAAGGCTCAGCCATCTCATAAACCATCCCAATCCATCGGTAGTCAACTCTATATGCGTTCCAGCAACACTATCATAGCGTCAACTGATCTCATCTCATACAAAGAATAAGCAAAAAAATTTAGAAGAACATGCATTTGGATTGAGATTTTGTGTGACTAATAAATGCCAAGTTGCTCATTTTCATGTGGGCTCTTTGTAGGAATTGTGATCTCAGTTGGATTAAGAAGTCATGACTAGATTGGAAGATAAAAATTAGATCAGATTATTCAGGTGACCACTAATCTACATATTGTTTGAACTGGTACAAGAATTTTTTATAGGATAATCTCTATTTTTTATCCAAAGCTTTTTCAGATTCTTTTATATTATCCAAACCTATCGAAATACTAACAATTAGCCAAATGTTAACTTTCAGTTAGTAATTTTGTTAGTAATATTGACTTGACAACTTGATACTGACTTGGAATACTCATGAAGGTCAACATTTTCAAAATTTTAATATTTAAACTAAGGAAAGAGTTACAAAATTATTAATGATAACATAAATATGGCTAATATATTGATGCATTATGAAAGATTTTGATAATTAATAGAATTTTAATAGGTTTGGATAATATAAAATAATCTGAAAAAGATTTGAATAAAAAATTGACATTATCCTTTTATATATTAGAATCTTAAAATTTTGGAGAAAATATGTTTTTTTGAAGGAAAGGAATGAAAGGTTGACGATCGATAACTAGAAAAAATTGGAAGATTATGAGAAACAGTAATACCATGGGGGTGGGTACTGGAGTGCAAATTAGAGAAAACTTGACGATTGCAATTACGGAGATATTAATACTTTTTTCCTTCTATAAATAAAATTTACAACACAAAGCGAATTTAGGTAACTTTATGCATAAAATCGGTAAAAAATCATTCGATTGAGTTATTAAACTTTGTTATTTTATACTTGGTATGGGTATATAGTTAATTAAAATGAAAGGTGTTGTAGTATTTCGCCCAATGATTCTATCTCTCATATATCGATAAATTACTACAATAACTATTTTGATGCTTCTATTACTGAAGACGATGTTTGATCAGTTATATACTCCTTCTTTACTTCTCTTCCTGTACCAGACTTTGAACTTGAATGGGTTTTTGGTCTTCGTCCAAGGTAAATCGCTTCACATATGTAAGTCATTCATTTTTTTCTCTTTGTCCCATGGTTTTATCTTACTTATTAATAACAAAAACGACTTTTATTTTCTGGTTGTATCATGAGAAGAACATGCAGAAGATCTATTTATTTTGATCCAATTGTGTAAACGATATTTGAAGCCCGGTGGATCTCTTGCGTCATTGCTCCTCTTTCTGTTCTTAGGTTTCAACTTCAGTGATGCTTTTGTCTTCATAGAAGGTTCATTGAGTTGAACTGGTAGGCTATTATTCCCTTCCCAATTTATCTAAGTTGTTTGTGATTGATTTATAACATATAGAAAAGGAATTTGAACGGTGGTTTGGGTGCTTGATTTGTTTGAAATCAAATAGATATTTGGGTAGAACACGAGCAGTTGTACTTTTCTATCTCCCTATCTACTTTTTTGTTGTTTGTTTGCTGTATTTTTTTTTTGTTCTTTGGTTAGCTATTGAAATAATAAAATAATATCACCATTTTATTTTTCCCGTATAATATTTCCGCTCAGGATTTATTTTATCATAGCTATACCATATTTTTCTTCATTTATCTCGATTCTTATGGTCCAGCTCACCGATCAAATTTTGATATTGTTTTAGGATTAGTTAGGCACTGTTGATTTTGTCGATGTGTTTAGTGTCAATCAATATAATTGTAAGCCACAATGATTGGTAAAATTTAGCCTCCACGCAACAATACTCTGGGAGGTGGTGATGTTGAACTTGGAGTAGAAGAGTTGGGATTAGGTTTGGAAAGGAAGTAGCGGGGGAAGAAATTATGTTCAGATTTGGTAGCAATTAAAGTTCAACTACATCAGGTGAAGACAGAGAAGAGGGAGTTGGCGAGGGTAGTGATCAAATTGAGGAGGATATTGAAAGACATGAAAGTAAAACTGTAGTAGTTTAAGAGAGAGAAGTGAGAGATGATGAGGATATTTATGAAAATGGAGAGGGTGGCATGGAAGTGATCAGGAGTAGGTGAAGGCAGTCAAGGAGGATATGAGCATACTGATGGAATTGGAGATGAGGAGTGACTTTACCGAGCTTATTACAAATGCCACTAAGGAAGATGAGTTTGCCAAATACAAGAAAAGGTTGAGGAGTTGAAGAGCGAGTTGACAAGAATCCCAATTGGAAGAGAAATTGAGGGCCACATAGAGAAGGTCCATCAAAGTAGCAGAAATAGAATTGCAGGAGAAGGATTAGAAAGTGAATTTTGAGTTGAAACAAATGTCTCTTGAGATTGCAGATAGAGGGGATAAAAAGTTGGTTTTACAACGAATATTGGTGGCTATTGGTCTTTAGGTTTATGGTTGTGCAGCTACCACAACCTATGTCTATATTAAAATGAGGAATCATTTATTGATTTATTAAAATTAAGGTTGATTCTCTATTCAAACTAATGAGGAGATAAGTAGTGTCTAATCTTGTGTCTTATTAGTTTGATCGAGTCATTAGTATATTGGAGGTAACCTTAATTTTGTCATTTGCACTCAACTTTTGATGGTTCCCTTTTAGTTGAGTTATTAGTATATGGTTGACTTGAATCAACAACTCTTCATTTCTTTTTAATTAGTGGCATGTGGTTCCTAAAAGGAGAGCATTGAACCCTTTATGTAGGATTATGAGATTTTAGTTTTCAATTATCTATGGGTCGTGTGGGAATTCCAGCAGGCTTTTATACTCTATATGTCCTGACAATTAATTAACCAATAACATTTTAACAGGAGTTTAATTATAATTAAGAAATTGGATTAATGATACATTTTCATATACTTAAATGCTGATAGTATTTCTTCAATTATTCAACCTATACATTCATTGTTTATGTATCATCTCGATCGAAGGATTGCCAATAAAATTAAACGAATTAATAAAGTTAAACATAACATAAAATATAAATATTCAAATACAAACATTCCGGCCAACGGACCGACTTATAAGCTAGTTTGATTAATTGATTTGATTGATTAGAAGTGTATGAAACCAAACCATCTAAAACACAAAAGTTTAAAAGTTTAACTAAATAAAATAAATTATCCAAATTAACCAAACAAAACTATCAATATACTACCGCTTAAAATGATTACCACGGTAACCACTCTGTTTGAACACCCTATACCAAAGAAGAGTTCAAGGGTTCTCTGCCTCTGTCCAACTTACGGGGCATGATACAAAGACGACACAACTTCCAGACAATTTATATGAATGGCTACCTTACAACTCAAGTTACTGTTATCATCTTGGCAAAGAAAAACCTTCCTCCCGACACTCGCCTCTAATGTCTTGCATGAGCCGCTGGAGCAAACTGGCTTGGTTTGTAACAATTGCATCCACTCCTTCCACCAACATCTTCCGCATTGACTCCACATCATCAACAGTCCATGTATACACCTTCTTCTGCCTCCTGTTTTTTTATCATTAGCATTTCTCATTATTGCAACAAGCAACAACAAAGACTTCCAATTCAGATCAGGCAGCGAAACTAAGAAAACTGCAGAAGCATACCCTTGGAGAATCCTCACTAGCCCTTCGTCCACCAGTGGATGGTAAACACCGACCACTCGAGCCCCCTTCATCCTTAGTAAGTTGCTTCTCCTGCCTGTGTTAGGATCCTTCATCACAATGTACCCCACCTGTAATTCGACAGAAGAAAAAAAAATCAAATCGAAACCCGCTGATCTTGGTGAGGTATAAGTTCATCTCAAACTGCAGCTATGATCTTGGTCCATTACACAATCAAATAGTTTAAAATCGGAAACCATATTAGCCTCAATAATCGAAATCAGTAAATCATATTGGTCCATTTCCTTCTTATCATTACTCTCTAATAATGTGTCCAAGCTAAGCACTAATGGAATAATGGCTCTCCCATGTCATTGCTCACTGTTCACAAACCAACACAGATACACCTCTATGATACAAATCAAGTGACGCTACTTTACCGCAACATCTGATGTTAGTTTGATCAAATCCCTTGCCAGACTGTCACTTTTGGCCCAAATAACACAGTTTCTGCACTTCGCTTTCCCAACCTGAAAAGTTTCGACGATCCAAATGTCAGCCCTTTAATTCAAATCATAAAATCAGACAATAATAGTCACATGCTAGGCAAAATACGAAAGTTTCTAAAGCAATCTTTTGACACATTTGTATTCCTTCACAGAGGTACACGAGTACATTTTCCCAAAAGAAAAAAGTCATCTATCATCTTTTTTTAGATGACGGCGACTGTTGTTAACTGGAGACAATAGAAGTGTACAAAAGCAAGAACACAATACAGTTAAAGAGACCCGCAAAAGGGTTGCAGGCTCAGAGTACCAAGCAACAAACCAAGGGAGACAAAAGGACGAAGGAGTCCTCAAACAACGAGGCCCCCTAAATGAACAAACCTAGACCCAGTTCTGCAAGTTCTGCAATGGAACGCAGCAAAGAAGGACCAAGAAACAGTATGCATAAAGAGAGATCACGAGAGGACCAGGAACACAAGTAGCAAAGGAAGTTCAGCCACGCAGAATAGTCCTTTACCATCAATGTACCATGATACAAGGTCCTACCATGTCTTTCATTTCAATGATACACTACAAAATGCTCACAGTCTGGAAAATGAGAAAACAGATTTGACACTTTTCTTCAGTAAATTTCAAATGACTTTAGGGAGGTACAAATAGATCTTCATGATATAAAATGTTTCTATCATTGTTGCATAATTGCATCAGGTTCTAAAAGAAAATTGTGTTCAGTATCGAAGTAAACCATCCATAAGAAACAAACACATACATTGAAACAAACAAATGGATCCATAGCCATGTTGATGTCAACCAAAGCCAACAGAGAAATAAAGGAGGCAGGAAAGGAAAATAACAAAGGAAGAGAGCAACTAAAACTTACAACTGAAAGGATGTCTTTTGCAAGTCCTCTTTCATAGGAAGGAGGTCCAACTTTTGCGTCCAGAATCACCTGCCGAACTGAACTTGATACCAACTGTATGGTCCATATATTCAAGGCAAGTTAGCTTGAATTGAAAACTTCGTCACCATATCCAAAGGGGAATGCCTTAAGAAATGCCAGAAAGTAGACTACGGTTGCAAAATGGGAACTTTTACCGTCAAAGCATCTGCAACAGTGGGAATCTTTTGCTCACCGAATTCCAGAGCAGACTGCTGAATGATATCCAGTTTCTCTAACTTAAAAACCAAAGTAAGCAGTCTCATGAATGTGAAGTGGCTATATGATGGCATCAAAGAGAAAACCACATACACACAGAAACAAAGTAAGACGGGCATCATGTCAAGTTTTCAAGCTACACGAGAGTCCACTTAGCCAGGAACAATGAGAGAGCCACAATAAGAACTCTAGCAGGTATATACAGGATCCTCCAACAAGTAATAGCCACTATACTGAAGATGTTTGATCACCACCAATATTTAAACGCGGTCACTACTTACAGCATACCATATTAAAATCTTGGTTAGAGTTCCTAAGGGACAAGAAAATGGTAAATCCTACCCTCAAAAGTTCCGGGGGACAAGTGCCCACCATGAGACCAGCATCACTCTCTATATGTACTATAGAAATTAAGAACCTTAGATGCCAGAATCAAAGCAAAAAGGAAAAAGCTTGTCCCTCCAGCAAACCATTGTGATAGCCACTCACTAGAAAGTACACATTGACCTATCACATAGAGATCTTCCAGCATACTATATGCTCAGCTTTTAAACAATACACTGGAAGAGATTGGTAAATACCAAATGATCGTTCTCTAAGTCCTCATAGGTAACTAGTTTAGCAAACTAGTTTAGCACATTATTTATTACAATTTCCTGTCTGCAGCAGTTTGTAAAGTAACTATCGATCTCGTGCCCGCATTCAAAAATAAAAAGAGCTAATAGGAGGGTCTCACCTCTTTCATGCTGAAGTGACCAACTCTAGCGGTATGATTACCAGATATCTGCTGCAAGTCCCTGCCTGTGACATCTCAAAATCAAGCCTCTAATGTATACAAAAACTACAAGCCATCGTACACTTAAACAAGAACATATTCAAAATGCATCAAGGGAAAAGAGTGAACTATCCATTTTAATAACAAACATACCTATCATGGAGCGCAAAGAGGACTCCATCAGAGGAACGCGAAACATCAATCTCAATGCAATCTACATGAGAACGAAGAGCAGACTGATAGGCTGCCACCTGGAACGAGGACAATGAAACCAAGGTGATAATATTAGTCTTGAACTTGCAGGGTGGAAAAAAGGCGCCTTTAGTCATTCAGGGTTGAAGAGGATGTATCAAGCAAGCAGCATCAATGATAACTTTACCGTGTTGGGAAATGCATTAGTTGTATCGCCACCATGAGCACAAACAAGTGGAGGATGATTCAACCAGCCGCATTTCCTTAATTGGAGCTGCATAACAAAACCTCCGCTATTTAGCTCTCTGTCTACATGACTCGCTGGAGAAGATTCGTCATTGTTCCAAAACAACGCGAAAAATACATTGAAATTTCACGGAGTGCTTTGTTATGCAATCAATGTAAGAGATCTCGCCTACCTGTTGGAGACGGCGGAGCCTGAAGTGGAAAAAAACAGGTGGGGCGAGAGCGATGAAAGCGAGAAGAGCTATAACTAGACGGAATGTCTGCCGGGAAGTGGGAAGTCGAAGAAACGCCGGCGGCGGTGGTCGATTTTTGTTACGGTCGAACACGCCTCGAAAGAAACCTTGCTGTTTCCTTCCTGCTCTACCCAAGGTCGCCATTTTTCATTCGGTAGACAACGATCGAAACGCCGACCCGAAGCTGCGGAAGTGAAGGGAGGTAAAGAGATCTACTTTGTTTTAGCGAAATGAGCAGAAAGAAAGAAGAAGAGCGTTAGAACTTAGAATTATTCTTTTTTTTATGGGTTAAAGACACATTTGGTCACTGAGATTACAAAATCGGGACATGTTTAGTCACTAGAAAAAGTTAATATCAAATTTGGTCACTACAATTACTAAAACTGGACGCATTTAGTCACTCGCCGTTAGTCTCCGTCCAACTCCGTTAATGAAGTCCGTTAAGTGCTGAGGTGGCAAACAGAATTGCCTAATCAACCGGATATAACCCAACAAAAATAAAATCCGACCCACCACGTCATTATAACCCGCCACGTCATTAAAACCAACCCAACCCAACCCATGACCCAACCCCACCCAACCCTTCTTCCTCCTTCCTCCCACTTCACACAGATCCATCCATTTCTCAAACAATCTCCATTGATGCCTCGCCCACCTCCTCCATTCCCCTTCCTCTTTCTCATTCTATCTACCGCCGCCGCGGCAGCAGCATCTCACTCCTGCAACTCCCAACATTCCACTCCCTGCCCGCCATTCCCGTCGCCGCCGTCGTACCCATTCTCCTCCTCCCCTGGCTGCGGCCACCCCGCCTTCACTCTCAAATGCGCTTCCCCTCACTCCATCCTCCTCCTCCTCTCCCCTCCCACCCAATCTCCACAAGCATTTTCGCCAACTCAATCTAGGATCCGGCAACCACCATTTCCACAACATTAAACCACAAATATCGTGGTGAATTGGTAGAAGAGAAAATCAAATCGCATTTTCGATTGATAGAAATGAGAGCAAGAACCAGCCAACGCAGTAAAGAAACAAAGTCTGCCGAAGATTCTCACCTAGTCAGGTGACAGAAGCGAGAGGTTCTTGTGCAGATTAGGGACGGAGGACGCGAAATCGCCATTGATGCCGAGCTTGGAAATGCCTTCCGTCGCGGATTCCATATCTGGATGAATATTTCTGCGGCGGCGGTAGATAGAATGAGAAAGAGGAAGGGGAATGGAGGAGGTGGGCGAGGCATCAATGGAGATTGTTTGAGAAATGGATGGATCTGTGTGAAGTGGGAGGAAGGAGGAAGAAGGGTTGGGTGGGGTTGGGTCATGGGTTGGGTTGGGTTGGGTTGGTTTTAATGACGTGGCGGGTTATAATGACGTGGCGGGTCGGGTTTTATTTTTGTTGGGTTATATCCGGCTGATTAGGCAATTCTGTTTGCCACATCAGCACTTAACGGACTTCATTAACGGAGTTGGACGGAGACTAACGGCGAGTGACTAAATGTGTCCAGTTTTAGTAATTGTAGTGACCAAATTTGATATTAACTTTTTCTAGTGACTAAACATGTCCCGATTTTGTAATCTCAGTGACCAAATGTGTCTTTAACCCTTTTTTTTATTTTTTCTTGTTCAGAAGAAACGAGAGAAAGAGTCATATGGAGAATGGTCACTTCACACTAAATTTTTTAGACGAAAACGATAGCATTTTGATGATGTAGTTTTTTTTTTGGTCAAAAGATAATCGATATATTGATAAAAAACATAGGTAATTACATCCTGGCATTGAGCCAGGCCAGCAAATTCACGCAAAGACTCGTAGTCGGGTACAAAGAAAGAGCCTTTCTAGCCACCAAGTGGGCTGCCCTATTACTACGCCGACCTACAAACCGAACAGAGAAACCTCCCAACGAACCCAGCAGCCCGACAATCTCCTCAAGTAGCGCCCCCACTCTATTATCCCTAGTGTTGGACTGAAGAATCTTCTGAATAAGCACCTTGGCATCTCCCTCAAATCGCACCTCCACAAACCCCGAGTCCCGGCACCAGAGAACAGTTTCACGAAGAGCAAGCGTTTCAGCAACCAACGGGTCCTCAATGCCTGCAAACTGAAAGCCTCTGGCTATCAGAATGTCCCCCAAGTGATTCTTCACCACCATCCCACCTGCCGAGTGCGATGCGGCCTTGGTAGCCCCATCCCACAAGCAGATCAGAGGACAGTGTGGAACCTCAACCTCCGGGGCAGCAGGACCACACTGGGCTTTCTCCTTCGGTAGACTAATCCATTCCTGGTACTGCTGGTGATACTACCTCATCAAAGCCGGAAGTCCAAACTGTTTTCCCTCAAACACTACCCAATTCCGGGACCTCCAAATTCGCCAGAGGACAGCCGTAACCGCCATAACCAAATGGTCCTGATGGAGTAGATTCAACAATCTCTTCAGGAACAAGGGAAAAGTGTGACGAGGCAACCCCTGCCCGAGATACTCCAATCTGGCGTAATCCCAGATGGCTCGGGCCACAGGACATTCCAGGAACAGATGCTCCAAGGTTTCAGATTCCGCCCAGCAAACAGGGCAACGGGGGTGCACTTGGATTTTTCTCTCAATCAGCGCTTCAGTGGTTGGAAGGAGCCGATTTAGAATTGGCCAGAGAAAGACCCGAAGCTTCGGGGGGACAGGGGCCTTCCAAACGCAAATCCAACTAGTCCTATCCATCCAACTAACCGAGGACCGGCCCAGGTCATCCATCCTTTCCAACTGACCCGCCAGGTGGTAAGCCGATTTCACAGTGAAAACACCATCCTGCGTGCCATGCCAAATTAGTCGATCCGCAACATTGCCACGAGAAAGAGGAATCTCCTTGATGAGCCGACAGGTGCGAGGGTCGAACCATCGAGCCAAACCCTCATCGCTCCAGGAGCCCTCCTCACTATCAATGACAAATGCCACCCGCAAGACCTCATTTTCAGGCAACACACAGGGATTAAACGTAGGGACCAGAGGATGCAGGCTGGGTACCCAATTATTCTGAAGAAGAGGGGCTGTTTGGCCATTACCAATTTGCCAACGAAGGCCCTGGCTCAATAATTGGCGCCCAAACAGAATACTCTGCCACCCCCAGGAGGGACGAGACCGCGCCTGTGCCTCAAGGAAACCGCTCCTCGGAAAATACTTCCCTTTATACACCTGGGCTAAGAGCGAATCAGGTTCACTTAAGATACGCCAACAAACTTTAGCCAAAAGGGCCTGATTAAAATGCTCAAAGCGCCTAAATCCCATCCCTCCCTCATGTTTACTGCGACACATATTGCCCCAAGACATCCATCTCACCTTATCATGTCCATTCTCCACCCCCCACCAGAATCGGGCAATATGTCTATCCAAGAGCCGACACAGTGAGAGGGGGAGCTTGAAACAGGACATAACATGGAGAAGAAGCGCCAAGGCCACAGACTTGATTAAAGTCTCCTTCGCCGCCCACGACAATGTACGCTGCTTCCAACCCTGCAATCGAGCAAGAAGCTTCTCCTGAAAATAGCGAAACGTCTCCATTTTAGACCGGGCTATAAGGGTAGGTAATCCCAGGTACTTATCATGGACACCAATAGCCCCCACCCCCAGCACCTGCCCCAGGAACTCCTGATCCGGAACAACAATGTTCTTGCTAAAACAAACTGCCGATTTGGCCAGGTTGACCCTCTGGCCACTCAGCTCCTCATACTCATTCAAGACTGTGATCAGATTCTCGCACTCCTAGAGAGATCCGCGGAGAAACAAGTAAGAGTCATCCGCAAAGAACAGATGGGAGATTCGCGGTGCACGCGGCGCCACTTTAACTCCTTGCAATCTCTTTTCAGTTATAGCTTTCCTCAAGAGGGCCGCAAACCCCTCTGTACATAACATGAACAAAAAGGGAGAAAGGGGGTCGCCCTGTCGAAGGCCCCAGGAGGGCGAGAAATACCCCTTCGGGGTCCCATTCATCATAACAGAGAAAGACGTCGATTTGAGACACTCGTGGACCCAATCGCACCAAACGGAGCTAAAGCCCATCTTAGCCATTACTGCAAGTAGAAAGGGCCATTCAACTCTATCATAGGCCTTTTCCATGTCAACCTTCAGAGCCAAATACCCTTTCTTCCCTCGCATTTTTGTTTTCAGATAGTGCATTAGTTCATGTCATAGCAGGACATTGTCCACAATTTGGCGCTCTCGAATGAAGGCATTCTGCCCTTCCGTGATAAGCTCTGGGAGGAAAGTAGCCAGTCTTTCTGCCATTATCTTAGTAATAATCTTGTAAACGAACTGGCACAGACTTATAGGCCTCAGTTGTCGAATAGATTCCACATTATCCACTTTCGGGATCAAGGTCAACCAGGTGTGATTAAAGCTGCGAAGCATCTTACTCGTCGCAAAGAACGAGCAAACAGCTTCAATCACTGAAGTTCCAACGATATCCCAGAAAGTCTTAAAGAATTTCCCTGTGAATCCATCAGATCCAGGAGCCTGTTTGGAACCCATTTTAAAAACAGTGGCCCTTACTTCCTCCGGCACGACTGCCGCCGTAAGTCGCGCATTCATAGCCTCCGTGACTCGACAATCAATAGGAAGCTGATCCACCCGCTCTGACATATTACTCATTTGGCATTCAGACGTGAAGAGGTTATGATAAAAGTCAGTAGCAATATCAGCCTTTCCTTCCTCATTCGTGATCCAGTCACCCTCATTATTGCGAAGCCCAGCCACAAAGTTGTGTTTTCGGCGGGTCCGCGTTACCGTATGGAAGTAAGAGGAGTTCTGGTCCCCTTTTTTTAACCATCGAACCCTCGATTTCTGTTGCCAATAAATTTCATCGGCCTCCCATTGCCTACTCAACTCCGATTCCAGATCACGCACTGAATCCCAGTCAATAGGGGAACTAGATTTGATTCGATCAATCTCCTTCTGCAGGGTTCGAATATTCCGTAGAGAATTCGTCGTGCCTGCTCTACTCCAGTCATACAGCAAATGCCGTAACTTTTTGAGTTTCTCCCACAGCTGGAACATAGGGGTACCCGTGATTTCCTCCTGCCAAACAGAAGCCACCATAGCTCGAACTTCCGGGTTTTGCGCCCATCGAGCATCAAAACGGAAAAGAGGTCTGCTACGACGCTCATAAGGTTTGTCTGAGAGAAGCAAGGCGCGGTGATCCGACCCCTCGTCCGTAAAGTGTTTAACAAGAGTGTCTGGGAAGGTCGCCGTCCAAGAGTGAGAGCAGAGAGCTCTATCTAAGCGTTCCCTAATGCAGGCATTCCCCATTCGTTTATTGGTCCAAGTGAACGGGTCTCCCTGAAACCCTAGGTCAAGGAGACCTAGGTCATAAATAAAATTCCGGAGCCCGGCCGCTTGATTAGCATTCCAGGCATTTCCCCCGTCTTTTTCACTAGCCTGGAGAGTAACATTGAAGTCCCCCATAACCACAAAAGGTATCTCAAAAGAATCGCAAACAGCCCGAAGCTGAGCCAACTGGCTAGTACGAATTGCTTCAACACAGCTAAAGTAAACAAACACCACCACATAGGAAAAATCCCTTTCATTAATACGAGTACAAATGCAAAGGTTTGAATGATAAATAACCGAAGCATCAACTCCGGGGACCCAGCCAACTACAAGACCTCCTGATGCCTCAACAGCATCCACAAAAAAACAATGCGACAAATGGAAACCTAAACCCCGCATACGATGGGAAACGACTCTCCGGCGCGATCTTGTCTCTGAAAAGAAAACAAGATCCGGTTTATTCGAATAAACTAACCCTACAGCAGTTTGGAATGTGAGGGATGGCCCAATTCCTCTCACATTCTAGGCTAACAGCCTCATTTATCTGCTTGGGGCCACTCCAGGCTGGCTTCCTCCACCTTATCATCAGCAACTTCCACGAATTGTTTCTTAGGCGTGGGATCCTCTCCCACTTCACCTTCCACCTCCTCCAGAGGCCTTTTGCGTCCCTCAATAGACGTACCAGGAAGGTTCGAGCCATATTCATCAATCTCTGCTTCCAACAAAACACCCTTTCCCTGGACACCTTGTGATTTCACTGCCGCTATCCCATCACCCAGGATTAGGCCAGACTCGAAAGCGGCAACCACCTGGCGAACCTGGCCCTTCCCCTCACCCGAGTTCCTGCCCCAGCTAGAACAGGCGATCTCTGTTTCAGTTCAAATGAGTGAGCATCATCTTCAGAGGGTGAATCCATCAGGGCCGAATCACTCAATCCTGGCGTCCGATTCACAGTTACTGGGCCGGTAAGAGATGCTCCAGTAGGCTCCGAAGAATTTGGATGGGGAGTCTTCGTCCTCAAGTTCCGATTCGGGCCTGCCTTGCCCGTGTCCGGCCTGGAAGCAGCCACAGCCGCCGCCTGAGGACCCCGGGCCGCCTTTCTTAGTTTATACAGCCTCTGAGTGGGCTTCGGCCCCTCACCCGGCCCAGCTCGGCCCTTCAACTTGATGTCAGACGAAGCCTCCTCCTTGGCAGCCCGACGCGGCTTTGAGGCCCGCTGCCTGGGTTTGATTGCCCCTGGCCAACTCCCAGGAGGCCCATTGAGGTTTTGCAGCCCATAGTCAGTATCTCCATTAGGCCCAGATGGACTTTTAAGCCCAGACTCAGCAGCAAGTGGCAGAGGATCTGGGTTCAGTGTCTTCATGGGCTGTTCTTGAGGTGGGCTTTGTGTGCCAGCCTTAGCTTGGGAAGTTTCTCCCTGAAACACAAAATCATCATCACTATCCTCCAGGAGGATTATCCTCCGCCGCCGACCGACTTCCACAGTCCCCATCTGGGTTTCAGAGTTCATCGAGAGATCCTCGGCATTCCTCCTGTCATCATCCTCCATCCCCGCGATTCCTTCACTCGGCAGCCCTTCCATGGTGGGAGTTTGAATCCTCGCATTGCGTTGTTGCCCAGCCCTCGTTATCGGCCCCTGAAGCGCCTTAACTCTCGGGGATTTCGACATTCTGAATCCCCGAGGGCTGTCACGGTGGGGCGAGGAGTTCGGGCGCACCCTGGGCATTTGGCCTCGCGAATCCAAGTGGGTACGGCGAGCAGAGTCCCCCTTGCCGCGTCGGACAATTGGCGATTGAACATTCCGAGTTACACTCTCCGATTGCGGGGCTTGCTTCCTCCCCGCCATTTCGGCATTCCCCGACTTCCCCCGAACCTCTTGATTAACCCATACGGTTCTCCTTGCACCCCCATGAGGTTGGTGGTTGTCCTCTTGATCATAGATTTTCCGGCCCTGTTTCTTGGTCGTCATGTGGATTCCATAACGTTCTTTCCTAGCTGGTGGCTCGAAGTTGCATTCACTCTGCAGATGTCTGACACGGCCGCAGTGGAAACAGAAACTGGGGAGATGTTCATATTTCAGGTTGACCCAAAAGTTTCCTGTTTCCTCACAGATTGCCAGGAGCTGGGATCGTAGTGATTTAGTGAAGTCAATCATCGTCCTTACTTTGAGAAAGCGTTCTCCCGTTTCTTTGCAGGCAAAGACTCCAGACTCTAGGACCTGGCCAATGGCAGTGGAAATCATCTTTTGGCCAAATTGTTTGGTGCATCAATCCTCGGTAACTCCCCATATCTGTACGCGGAAAGGTGCCACAGCCAGATCGTCAAAGATGTTCCTCGTAATATTTGGGAGCCACGATCTCAGGACGAGGAGCTTGTCATTCACTACCCAAGGGGAGCGCTTCAAGATCCAGATTTTGGCTTCTTCAGTGGGCATCACGAACTCGAAGAGCCCATGCTTGGACTGCGTCACTCGAATCTGCCCCCTTCCCATCCATGGTTTGTTCACTCCCTCTCTGAGTTCCATCGGGGTAACTCTGGCATTCGAAAACACCCTCCCCAACAGGGTACGCGATGCTCGGAACCTCGTGGATTGAACCTCTTCGAGAGAGAATTGCACCACCTGATCCTCATTGATACGCGCCATCTCCAGTACCTGCGGGTTCGTCATAAGTGATGACAAGTTAGGGGAAGGCAGGCCACTCGACGGGGCTATCAATACAGCAGGATTAGTGGGTAAGGACGGGATGAAGAGAGGCGCCATTCGAGGCAGCGGCCTACGAGCAGTGCTAAGAGCAGAGCACCTCAATGAGGGATTACCTGGAAGAACACCTTCTGCCCCTCTTCGCCTTCTTTGGAAGGAAAGTGTCACCCAATCCACCGCAACTGCAATTGAGCAAGACTCTGAATCGTTGAGTTGCAATTGAGGAGGCGGGCTTTTAAATAGACTGACTACCCCTTGATTCCCACTGTAAGGCGGACACTTAACAAACTTCAGAGGCAGAGTCCGAGTGGGATTGGGGAATTTAGAGTCGTTGTTGTAACCGTGAAGAATATTGGAGAAAACCTCCTGAATCCCTAAAAACCAGGGATGATTATTCGGAATTAAAATTTTCTTGTTATCCAAGAGTTTACATCGCCGCCGCAACCGGGGATGGCCGGCGGGAATGGTCGAACACTTTGGCGGCCGGAGACCAGTGGGCCCCATGGCCTTTCGCCAAATTTGGAAAGCCGCGGCGTCAAGCTTGGACTTAGGTTCCGGGCAGTTCTCCGGTTTCCCCTGGGCTTGAAGCATCGGATCCGCCAAAATATCCCGGGAGGGCGTCCCCATATAACCCTGATCATTCAAGCTGGGGGGATTCGTCTCCTCCAAATCATACGAGGATGGTAACAGGAATCGCCAGCCCACTTTGGGGTTTTTCTTACGGTGTTTGTACCCATCCATCCGATCAAGATCGCCAGCAGAGCGTTTCTTGACATTGCGTCTAACCCTTAAAGCAAGCTTTTGAGTCTTATGGTCCCGAGGGGCACTTCCATCTTCTCGGCCCGAGAATGAGAGCCGAAGCTCAGCCGTTGATCGCCAGCTGAAAAAATTCAGCACAACCACGTTCTCTGAAGCGATGGGTTGCCATCTTCGCCAGTTTGATTCTTGATTGCTTGCGCTGGCCTTGAAGACCGTCACCAGGGCGATGAAGATGATGCGGCCGGCCGCGCAGCAGAAGCTGAGGAGAGAGGCGAGAGCTTCCCTCATTTTCTTTTTTCCCCTAATCCAACCACTAGTATGGTACAATTAATACTAGAAAACCAAGGTCCAAATTCATCGTCTGACGGGCCTCGAGGTATATTCATAGGTCCAAGCCTCAAGTCTTCCTGCCCAACCTCATTCTTATGACACAAAGAAATATGTGTACAAAGAAATATGTAACAAGTTAATTATTTTGATGATGTAGATAGAAGTATAAAACCGTAACTTTTTAAGTTTTAAATCGCAGTTAATTTTAACTGCATTGCTGATAGCCAAATAGACTAGCTGTGAATTGTTGCTTTTAAAGCGAGAGACGAGTTAAATGTTCACGACGATGTTAACTTTCATATGATATATATTTTAACTATATGCATCAAGAAGTCATCTGAACTTGAGACTATCGCCTTTACTTTTTGCTGCCCACATCTATTTCCTGATTAACAGGAATCAACAAATGATGTTACCATCATACAAAAACTGCGCTCTAAAACAAAGTTATCAAGATGTCGATTCACGTTACATTAACTAAAGCATCAGACCGCGGCAAAGCACAAGCGAGAGTTGAAGATGCACGCCTGTGTGTGTCAAGAACACCTAATCTGAAATATAGTGAAGTCTCCTAATCCTGCTTCGAGTTCAGATGTGGAAGAGATGAAGACGGTGGTCGTCTCTCTGCAAGCTTCCTCTTTGTGCTCTCCAACACACCAAAAAAGATCGAACCTCCGATTCCTATCCATAGCACCCTCGGCCCTATGCCCTGCGAAATGAAGACGAGTGAAATGTTAGATAATGCTGGAAGGAAAAGGGGAAGAAAGGATCTTCCTTATCTTTTGGCCCTTATTCCTGTGGGCTGTGGTTAACTATCACCAAAACAAAACACAAAAATAGATGGGTGGAGAAACCTTTAGAAGAGCAGCAGGTCCTTCCTCCCTAATGACAGTTTGAACACAATCCATCACTCCTTTGTACTGGTTGGCTGATCCCTGTGGTTTTGTTTACAGTCAAATTCAAAACAGAAGGATCAAAAAAACATTTAGTTCAAAGAGATGATGGATCAATTGTGCATTGTGGTGGGCAAAGATTTGTTCCGGTTTTGACCAAAATATAATTTGACTTGGTTCTTAAATTGAAGACCTTTCTTTTGGTTTCGATTCCATAAATTAACCTAAGAACAAAGGAAAAGGGGAACAGCATTGCATAGAATGCATTTTTTATCTGACTTTCGTCCTCATTTTTCCTTCATTCTGATTTGGTCCTACACTGACCCTAGTTATGTGCATCCTTCATGGTCTTATTCGACGATCCCTTGTTCTTTCCAAAGCTTAATCTAGGAAATGGAAAGTTAAGAGTGCAGGAGCAGATAACCTGAATCATTAGTCTTGTCTTAATCACATCAAGTGGAGTAGTCACTGCTCCAGTTACAGCACCTACAGAAGTGAGGAAGAGGCTCAGTATGCACATAATTAAGGTGGAAAGGTGGTACATCAGGTTGCAAATTGCAATCAGCAATCAGTCAATCATACAAAAGAGTAACAGAAAATGGGGGTTTGAAGGATCAAAGTACTCAAAGTTACCAGCAAAAGCGCCAATCACAGCATTCTCGGCACCGTTGAGATCTCTTTGTGCCTGGCAAGAGAATGAGACGACACAGGTGTATTAATAATGTTTGTCACAAGACAAAGAGGAAACTTGACATGTAAAGTTCTAAAAAAAGACAGGTTGTGGAACATACTGCTATTTTATAACCAATCCGAAGCTGCTCGTAAATGCAAAACTGAATAGCATCAAATGGCAGATCACGCAATAAGAATGATCCATATCCCTGCATTCAACAAATGAACCCGAAATTTACATAGCTATGAGCAGTTTTAAAGTGGAATCAGTAATATCTTAGGTTTCATCCATTTATTGCAGTATTACGCATGAAAATACAGAAAAGGACATTCTAATGTACCATAAAGAAGATTTTTTTTTTTTTCAACTCGCCTAAGGCTAAAGATCGATTACACTCAAATCCTTTGAAGGTTAACAAAATGACATTCTACATTTAATAGAAACATAACCAAGATATCAGATTACATACCGCATAGAGACCCTTAAATCCTTCCTTTGAGACAATGAGGCGTACAGCATTGGGAGCAGATGAAAATTGCCCCATTTGCATCCTTGTTTTAACAACCTGATGGTTCAAAAAATCGTATCATTATCTTGTGGATGATGGCAAATCTGTGGGGGAAAAATGATGAATCATACTAAAAACTGAACCTCTGTTGGTACACGAACAAAAGAAGCAGCAAGCCCTCCTATGACACCTGCAGTCTGCGTTAAGTGCATTATATACCACAATTAACTATAGTTTGTCATAGCCACATTAGACTCAATGAGAGAAATGTTTTCAGATTGTTAACCTGCTTAATATAGTAACTTGCACAACTGAAAGTACAAGTGACATAGATTACTAAGCAGAAGCCGAATCAAATATCTTGTGCAAGAGCTGAAATGGCAGATCTTACTAGATGAGCAAACGCACTAAGATTTTCAGGAAAAGCTTTCAATAACTTCTGTTTTGCTGGCTCATATACTCCGACAAACAAAGCAGAAGCCCTGCACACAATACAAGAACGCCTATATCAATCCCAATCTGTCAGCAAGAAAATCGATGAAGCATGAGACGGCTACTGGAAAGGAATTCTTCAGACAATTATACCCAGAACAAATTGATCACTTTCTTACCAATAAGAGTTCAGGGAGAGAATGAAAGCAAAAATAAAGCGAATTTATCAATTCGACACATGAAAGTTTATCTAACTTCCTACACTAGCTACATTGTTCAATTAATTGCCAAATAGCAGCAAGATAGAGCTTTGACACTGCAACTCAAACTTACGGTAGGACGCCAGCAATATTTCCAGCCAAGCCAGAGTAAAGACCCTTCCAGACTATTTGTCCTCCACCACGAACTGCCTGCAACATCAAAAAGCACAAAAACCTCAGCAAATACCTATACTTAACCATCATTTCCGATTATCGAACCAGCCATTCACAATCGACTAATCAATCTCCACACGTTGCTATGGAGGTTAATGTTATTGAAGGAATCAAGCAATATATTCTACGAAATGAAGCTAAATTCGAAACAAATAATGAAGCGCTACGAGGCAACTAGAATGGCGACGACTTAACCTGCCTGCAACCTTGTCTTGATAGTATCAATGGGATACAATGCCGTTTCAACTACAACACCAGCAGCACCTCCAGCGATTACTCCCTCTGCAATATTTTCAACAGGGCAGTAGTCAATATCCATCACAAAACACGCCATTGATTCAGCTTTTACATCAACAATTTGAACCCACAGAAGGTTACTGAAGCTACCAAATACAGTTCGCAAGAAATCGAATGGATTCTCCTCTTCTCCTTTAGCACTGAGCGAGGCGAAAGGCTTGCTGCGGCTTTCTAGATGAGCTATGTGCATTTTTCCGCCTGAGAAATCCAGAGGGTTCAGAACACCGACAAATTCGTGCTCTCGAAGCGCCATTTGCATAGGTGAAATTCAATTTTCGCTTACCCGAAGCAGTCTTCGTTGTAGTATCCACAGCTAGCGTGAGAGGAGCCATGGTCACAAAGCTGCTTCGAAGCTCGATTGGAGAGTGTTTACTCACCGGTGCTTTCGCCGGCAAATCTGCTCGGGGCCGACTGGCAGATATCTCTCTCTAGTCTCCAGCGAGAGGAAACTGACGGGGGAAACCGGAAAAGTAACGTTGTCAAGCCGGTTTCGCAGGTTGGCCTGATTGAGGTAATGAGTTATGGGTTAATGGTTCGATTAATCGATTTTAATTAGTAATTAGTACAGTTCAGTTTAGCTCGATTTAGTCTCTGATTGAGGTAATGAGTTATGGGTTAATGGTTCGATTAATCGATTTTAATTAGTAATTAGTACAGTTTAGTTTAGCTCGATTTAGTCTAGATCTATGTAATTATATTGTACATATATATAAATTATGGGTCAGACTGGTGTACGTCAGACGTATACTATAAGTCAGGTACTACTAGTGAGATATCTCTATCTAGACCATGAATTAAATCGGGTTTGGGGTATGATACTATACCCTAACCTCTAATGAATAAACCCCAGGCACCGATTTTCTAAACCCCACCCCGAAGTTTGATTTAATGAAAAACAAAAATTGACCGTTGAGATCGTTCGGAGCTCATCTAAGTACATCTAACGATTAGATCACCTGTTGTATACTATACGCCTGATGTACACCAGTCATTACCTATAAATTATATCTAATTTCATATAATATATAGATAGCAACATGTAAAATTGCACCAAAACAATAGATCGTACTTGAATCGAACATATAGATAATATTCTAACACACTTAAATCTACCACATAACATCAATATTCAAACAAAAAAAAAGTTCAACTTAGAATTCCAAATAAAAAAGGGTTAATATTTCTGTATAGCCTGAACTTTGACTAAAATAAACATCCTGGCCAATCTTTTTGATCTATAACATCCTGGCCCGAATTATACATCAAAATAAACAATTTGGCCATATCCGACTTTTGACCGTTAACTTGGACGGTCAAACGCGTTGACTAACGGTCAAACGCGCCATGTCACTGCCAACCAAGCAAATTTCAATTAATTTTTTTTTAATTTACACCTATTTCCATTTTCTTTCCTTTATCATTTTGAACGGAAAAAATAAAACAAATTTTCAATTTCGGATATATCCCCAAACAGACCCTCTGCTCTAACCTCATTCTTCCCTTATGAGCGATACCGCCGCAATTTAGAAGATGACCAAGGCAGCGGCGGCGACTACATCACTGACCCAAATTCAGATGACTACGTCTCGGATCTCGTCGGGACCGAAGAATACAGCGTCGGAGGTGGCGCGAGGAACCGGAGAGCCCGCGAGATTCCGATTCCCAATCGACCGCCGCAGTTGATACGCTCGGAAGAGGAACTTCGACGGGAAGCGGGGATTTCAGACAGAGAAGTAGAACAGAAAATCAAGAATCGAGAATCTCTGATTCTTCCGTTTATGGAGGCGCCGTTGAAAGACGGCGAACAGGAGCGAACTATGAATCGTGATTTGGAGCAGAAAGATTCCCATTTTCCGTTCAAGATGGAGGCAGTGATGCGGGGAGAAGCAGTGCAGCGGCGGCGAGCTCAGAATAACGCCCGCCGCTGCATTTTAGTCGGTCGAGGGAGGAGCTTCGACGATGAAGGAAGGAGAAGGTGAGGGGCGGCGGTTAGTTTCTATGGATGGGGATGGGCACCGATATGGATAAGGTAGGGTAAGCGGCGTGCGTTTTGTCCCGAAATTGAAAATTTGTTTTTTTTTTGTTCAAAATGATAAAGGAAAGAAAATGGAAATATGTGTAAATTAAAAAAAAAACAATTGAAATTTGCTGAGTTGGCAGTGACATGGCTCGTTGACCGTTAGTCAACGCGTTTGACCATCCAAGTTAACGGTCAAAAGTCGGATCTGGCCAAATTGTTTATTTTGATGTATAGTTCGGGTCAGGATGTTATAGATCGAAAAGATTGGTCAGGATGTTTATTTTGGTCAAAATTCAGGCCATACAGAAATATTAACCCAATAAAAAAGTAAAGTATTCAATCTTCAAAGATAAAGACATTCATCTTCATTGCATCACCGATATGAGAAATGTCAAAATCAATTTCATCGATCACATCATAGTTAAAGTCATCTGCATCAACTATGAATCAAATATTCATAATTATTCCAAATAACAAGATCATAATTGTATAGACTTCTTCATAGATGCTATTATAATAATAATAATAATAATAATAATAATAATAATAATAATAATAATAAATCTTCAACACGAGACTCTTTCTAAATGACGAGTATGATTGCTCCTCCTTCTCATAATTAAGAGTCTTTTCAATCCCCTCGTAGTATATCTGTAGGTGGATCTTCTTCTACGATCCAAAAATTGAGGTTATCTAATTACTAATAATCAATTGGATCTTTCGCTCACTCATTCTTCAAGCACCTACAAGTCAAAGAAGATAAAAACAATAAAGTATATGAAGTATTAACTTTACAATGTTGCATATAAATTATAGGGTAAATACAATTTATTAACTTTTCACTCACTCATTCTTCAACCTCATATTGCAAGTCACATAAACAAGATCATTCAATCTTTGATGCTCTAATCGATTCCTCCGCTTGCTAAGGATCTGCTCAAACAAACTCTAGTTTCACTCACATGAAGAAGAAAAGGAAGTTTGAGACAAAAGTCGCACAAGAATCTTCCTCCAATGTGTGTTTCCCTCTTTAGACTTTTCCAACTTGTGAGATGCAAAGATTCTACTTTTGACAAGTTATCCGGACAACGACCTATGACCATAAACACTTTTCAAGCATATGAAACTTATACCAAATCAAGTAGTTCATGAATGCACAATGTGCTTCCAACCTTCTAACTTTTTCAACAAAGAGCTAAGCGAAGAAGATGACTACAGACAAACACACAGATCTTCTAAGCTCTAGTGACTAAGCTTGACACATGTCTCATCTTGTGTAAACATATAAGTAGAGTAAAATATTTCAGGCCACGAATTTAGGGTACTATATATTACTACATGTAAAATTTGGTAGGGGTTCATGCATTGTTATGTTTTTTTAATGAGTCTTACTAAAACTTTCTACCAAGGTTGTCAATCTGGTTTAGCCCGTTGACATGATCAAACTAGTGGGTTAAGTGTAAATGGACTGCTAAGTTTAGACCAATTTAGCATGGTTTAGCCCATATCTATAAAAATGTAATTATATTGTACATACATATAAATTATATCAAATACAATACAATATATAAATAATAATATATAACGTTGCGCTAAAATAATAGTTCATACTTGAATTCAACGTATAGTAAAAATTCAAACACACATAAATCCACCACATAACATCAATATTCAAATGTTCTACCTAGAATTCTAAATAAAATAATAAAGTACTTAGTCTTCAAAGATAAAGACACCCATCTCCATTACATCATCTATATGAGAAATATCGAAATCAATTTCATCGATCGCGTCATAATCAAAGTCCTCTTCATCAAAACATGAAATAAAATATTCATAATTATTACTAATAAGAGAGAGGAGAAAGAGAGAGAATTATGGTGATGAATGGTGGTGGGTTTTGTTTTTTATATTTCGATCAAATCTGAGCTCAGCTGATTTTTTTTGTTCCAAATAGGTTCGAAAACGCACATAATACATGATCGATATAACCGAACGGATTAAATATCCACCCAAACTTCCATGAGTGTGCATCTAAAACAATGAGTTATATAATTCCAAATTTATTTTTTTATGGTTATGATTCCAAAATATTAAGGAGCTGAAAAACACTTTCTTTGTGAAAAAGTGAGCCTTCCACATATACAAGTCTTTGCACCTAAAATCCCTCAAAGGATATTAAAATCCCTCCATGGATATTTAGGGGTTGTTTGGTTTTGGTGATAGTTTAGGTGAGATTGTTACAATGGATGCATTGTCGACAATGTATCATTTTTCTGAGTTTTTTTCTGCAACAATGCATCCCTTGTTTTATTGATGTGATGGAAATAATCACTCAAAATGAGTGATATTACTATCTCAAGTAAAACTTGAGAATGTTGAGATAATTTAGTGGTGATTGTTTGATTCTTTTTTTTTCAATTATAACCCTAGTTATTTATCTATATTCCCATAATACACTTGAAATTTATTATCTAATCTGCTCTCATATTTTTTCGGGAACACCCATGCTCAGTTCGCTCCACTTTTGTAAGATGTCTCTACCACCCTCTCCCTTCAAAATTTCATCGTCGGTCTAGCCTCCTTGATCTCGTCGTCGGTCTAATATATGCAATTAGTGTATGTATCCTCAATTAGAATACATGTGCCTATATCCATTGCTTAAAGAGGGGTAGAATTACTACAAATTAGTGTTCGTATATAACCTATAAAATTAAGAGTAAAAGTGATATTTCATACAAAAAAGAAATCAGCTTTTTGAATGCTAAAATAACTATCTCCAAAAACCAAACAAGATAAACTACATTACACCATTTTCCTTAATTGCTTGTATATTAAAATGCATATATTGATCTCAATGCATTGATTTAAGTATCACCAAAACCAAACGACCCCTTAATACTTGTGCTAGTTGCCTGTTCACACATGCATGCACTGTCAACATGCAAGCACTAGAGAGTCCAAAAGTATTGTAAATGAGTGGAGCTAAGTTAGGTTAAACGAGTCCAAACATCATCAAAGGTAGTACTGTAATTGAGTCGAGTCTAGTTGAGTTTTGACCTAACTTAGCTTGAGTTCAGTATCGAGGTCGACTAATTTAATAAAGGATAATATCTCTTATTTATCCAAACCTTTTTCATATTCTTTTATATTATTCAAATCTATCGAAATACTAAGAATTAGCCAAATGTTAACTTTCAGTTAGCAATTTTGTTAGTAATATTGACTTGGCAATATGATACTGACTTGAAAGAGACACATGAACGTCAACATTCCAAAATTTTTGTATTAACTAAGAAAAGAGTTACAAAATTATTAACGACAAACTAAAAATGGCTAATATTTTGATGCAATACAAAAGATTTGGCTAATTAATAGCATTTTAATAGGTTTGGACAATATAAAAGAATCTGAAAAGGTTTGGATAAAAAATAGACATTACCCTTTAATAAACATTGGCTCAAGTTTGACTCGAGTTCGATTCGAGCTGAGCTCATTAATGAGCTCACGAGATCAATCTACTCGAGTTCAGCTCGAGCTCACCTCATTTATGATTCTCAATAATCGAACCATTAACATAAAATCTAAAATCATTTATAAATTAGATAACCCTAATATTTATATACCATATATGATACATCTACTTAATGTCTTTATGAGGAAAAAAGAACGATAGTAAATTTTTCATGACTAATTGATCACATGCGTGTATACTTTGTTGATATCATATTCATTTCATAAATTCTAACTAGTTCATGTCATGTTATTTAATAGTAATTAGTATATGAGCAATCTATAATCGATATTTTTTTTTAATTATAAATGAGACATATATGATTACATGTTCAAACTCTTAGATTATCTTTGTGAAATGTATAATCTAACAACTCTATGAACTATCAACAAGTTAACTCATAAACCATAGAACAATTTGTTAATAAGTCGTTAGTCAAGTTGGCTAGCTAGGCACACTATCGAGCCAGCTCACGAGCCACGAATTGAACTCATCTATCGAATCAAGCTGGCTCATTGAGCGCGACAAATTGAACAAGACCCCAGCTCTAACACGATTCATTAGCTAGTAAACGAAGATGAATTTCAAACTTGTTTTCTTGTTGAGCGTTGTACCGCTCACAAGTAGCTCGACTCATTTACAACCTACCCGAAGGTTAACTCACCTATATGTTTACGCAACAAGCCAAAAGTTGTTGCCTTGTCGTAGAAACTTGGAGCCTACCACAATCATTAGAGGTACCACGTGTCCAAAGTAGTTTTCCATATCTTGTTTGGACAATATGGGCGTTCTGTGTCGACAATAGAGGACCACAAATCCACAATTGTTCCTTTTCGAATGAAATGACTCAAATTATTGATGTTCTGCACGTTAATAATCATTAGCTAGGCACACAATCATTAGTGTTACCATAGTAAACCTAATAGTATATTAAGATTTAAGAAGATGAAATGTCATGGTTGTAACCAAACCTAATAGTAACATTGTCTGACTTTGTCATATAAATAAGAAACGCATTTTGTATATTCCTAAACAATAGAGTATTAGACTCATTCAATTTAAGAGAGTAAGATATTCATACTAGTACTTTGTTAACCATAATAAACCAAAATACACAATTTAATAAAAAGACTAAATTTCACTTTTTGGAAGAGAAAATATTCATCAATTATTTAGATAAATCATCTCTTTTTTTCCGATAAACTTTTCATGCCGGTGTTTGTGTTCATCATTGTCAAAAATAGAGAATAAAATACAGTAAAAAAAAATTCAAAAACGATTCTTCAGCTAATACTGTTTCAACTGTACTAATTAAGAATTCAACGAGACCAGTAACCTCTACCCAAATTTAGCAAAAAAAGGGTAAACACTACAAATTAAAATTCCAATCCAATATTGAAAGAGAAAGGAAAACCAAACCAAAACCATTGACAATCCTACAATTAAAAGCTCATAGTTTCAGTTGATGTGCTTGATTGATTCATTTGCTAGTACTCTTTACTCACAAGTTTTTATTATTCCCATTTCTCCAAATTTTCAAGCCAAGTAATTAAGTTAGAGCTCATTCTCTATTAATGGCACCATAGGAACCAAAAAGCTCCACCATTGGTTAGCTCCTCCATCCAACCTCTCATTCATTTCTCCTCTTCTCCCCCTTCTTCCATTCTCATTTATATACTAAAAAATTTCCCACGTACCCTTAGTCGTAAAAAAGGTTCGACGATGGTTCGAGCTAGACCACCTCTCCTGCTCATGGCAGGAGGGGGCTATCGTCGTGCCACCGAGTATTTCACGGTGACATTGTTACTAATTTCGACGATAAACGTCGCCCTCGCGGCCAATTCATCGTCGTCATCATCCAATACTGTTTTGCCTGGACTCGGGGTGAATTGGGGCAGCATTGCGTCGCATCCCATGGACCCCAACATCGTGGTACAAATGTTGAAAGACAATGGATTCAAACGGATAAAATTGTTTGAATCCGACTCTTACACCGTCAGCAAGTTCGCCGGCACCGACATCGAGGTCATGCTTGGAATCCCTAATGACCAACTCCATGATCTGGCCAAGGATTACGACAACGCCAAGGATTGGGTGAAGGAAAATGTTTCTGATCATATGTCTAGCGAGCAAGACAAGCACGTCAATATCAAGTAAATTCTACCACCCTAGCTTCCTCCCTTTTCTTGTCAACAATTCTGCATTTGCTCATTAATATTCGGTTTAATCGTCATAAATTTATGTCACAATTGTTCCTTTTCTTATCGAAGATCATTGTTCCATTACGATAGAGGAAAAAACACATCAGATGTAACGTTTTCTTCGATACATAATGTTACATTTCCAATTTTCCACCGTATTTGATTCACCAATCGATAATTAATTAGTTCGCCCTAATTTCTTTTGGTTCATTTTGACCACGCCTTTCGTCATTAACATTTACGTTTGCATGCATTTGGCAGATACGTCGCCGTAGGGAACGAGCCGTTCCTGGCTAGCTACTACGACAGGTACGTGAACGACCTGTTCCCCGCCATGCAGAACGTGCAAAAGGCCCTAAACGCAGCCGGGTTCGGCAACGTCATCAAGGTCACGGTCCCGTTCAACGCCGACGTGTACGAGTCCCACTCCGACAAGCCGTCCGACGGCCAGTTCCGATCCAGCCTGAAGGGCCAGATGACGTCCATCGCCAAGTTCCTCCGCCAGAACAAGGCCCCCATCCTCGTCAACATCTACCCGTTCCTCAGCCTCTACCAGAGCTCCAACTTCCCCGCGTCGTTCGCCTTCTTCTCGAACGACGGGAGGAAGGTGTACGACGGCAACATCGCCTACTCGAACGTGTTCGACGCCAACTACGACACGTTGGTCACGGCACTAAAAAAAATCGGGGTCCCCGACCTGAAGATCATGGTCGGGGAAGTCGGGTGGCCCACCGCGGGCCACAAGTACGCCACCCCGGACTACGCGCAGAAGTTCTACGCTGGGCTGATGAAGCGTCTGGCGGCCAACAAGGGCACCCCGCTCCGACCGGGGAAGCTCGACGTCTACCTCTTCGCCCTCATGGACGAGGACCAGAAGAGCATCGCCCCCGGTCCGTTCGAGAGGCACTGGGGGATCTTCACCTACGACGGGAAGCCCAAGTACCCACTCGACCTGTCCGGGGGCGGCAACCAGAACGAGATGTTGGTTGCCGCCAAAGGGGTTCAGTACCTGCCCGCGCAGTGGTGCGTGCTGAACCCCGACGCGACCAACCCCGTCGGCCTGGACGACGCGTTGGGGTACGCCTGCGCGTACGGCGACTGCACGAGCCTGAAGCCCGGGTCGCCGTGCGCCAGCCTGGACAAGAACTGGCAGGCGTCGTACGCGTTCAACAATTACTACCAGATCAACGACCAGGACGTGAGCGCCTGCGACTTCAACGGGCTCGCTACGGTGGTCAAGACCAATGCGACGCGGGGGAACTGTCTGTTCCCGATTCAGATTGTGAGCGACGGAGGAAGGATCGGCGGGAGCCGTGGTGGGTTCATGGCGGGCGTCCTGGTGCTGTTGGCGTTGTGGTTCACATTGTAAGGTGGAAGGGGACCAAAGAGGACATCATTATTTTTTTCGTTGTAACGCAAAAAAAAAAAAAAAACAAAATGTTCTAGAGCATTGAGTTTGGAGTTCGATGTTGAAGTTTGAAATTTAGTCTTTAGACATATTTGTTCTGTGGTTGGGGCGATATCCAATGCTAATTAAACGAAAACTCTGAGCGTGTGCTCTCTCATTTATATAACCATCCATGGGTGTTGGCTTGTCCTTGGGGGATCTGTCACGACCTTACTCTCGATCGTGCGGCCCTAGCTCTCAATTCCTTTAGAGCGCTAGGCAGCCTTCTCTCAAACTCACAAGCAAACAAAGAACAAGGAAGCAAAGACAAAGAAGTGGGAGAACTCTCTAGTGTGTATTACTCTAAAAAATGATGGAATGAGTTACAAGTGAGGGAGATGGCTCCTTATATAGGCCTCTCCTCATACAAGGCATCAATGCCCCTCATAATGTCCCTCTACATCAATACACCCCATTAAGTCCCCCCATTATGCACTCTATAAATGTCACCCATTATGTGACTCATAAGTGCACCATTAAGCTCTCATTTATGTGGAGAATCCTAGGAGCATCTCTATGCTACTAGTCTTCCATACACGCCACATGTGCAGCCGCCATGTTGTCACCTTGTTGGCGCCTTGTCATCTGCCACATGTGACATCCTCCCCCACCTATGCTCGCGATGCCCTCGTCGCGTCCTCTTGATGAAAAACCTCGATCAAGTCCTTGTTCTCCCAAGTTGCTTCACTCTCCGGAAGGTTGCGCCACTTGACCAAGTACTCCACAAAGCTTGAATGTACGCCACGACGATGAATGACACGACGCGCCATGATTTCTTCAACTTCATGGTCGTGTGTCTTGGTGATGAGTGTTGGTGCGCGCTGCGACTCTCTTCGCTGCTCGTCCTCCTTGTCTTCGTGGAAAGCCTTGAGTTGGCTCACATGAAAGACCGGATGGATCTCTAAGTGCGACGGTACCTCCACCTTGTACGCCACCTTGCCAATCCTCTTCACGATGGGGAATGGCCCTTCATAGCGGCGAAGCAGTCCGATCCCTTGTGCACGTTCTTGAGATGCTTGAAGCGATGAGGGTAGAACTTGACCATCACCACATCTCCCTCTTCAAACTCCAACTGCCGCCTCTTCTTGTCCGCCCATTTCTTCATCTTCTTGCTAGCGCGGGCTAAGTAAGACTTGGCCATCTCCATCTTCTCGTGCCAGCCTTTAGCGAACTTGTAGGCTGCCGGACTGTTGCCTCTATATCCCGTTGCCACCGTCGTAGGTGTCAAAGGTTACTGCCCCGTCGCCAACTCAAATGGACTCGTGTTGGTCGACTCGCTGCGGTGCAAGTTGTAGGAGAATTGTGTTGTATCCATCAACTTCACCCAATCTCGTTGGTTTGCACTCACGTAGTGTCGCAAGTACACCTCCAACAAGGCATTCACCCGCTCCGTCTGTCCGTCGCTTTGAGGATGAAATGCCGTCGAGAAGTTCAAGTTTGAGCCCATGATCTTGAACAACTCTCACCAAAATCGGCCCGTGAAGCGCCCATCTGTGTCGCTCACAATGTTGCTAGGAATGCCCCAATACTTGACCACGTTCTTGAAGAATAGACGCGCCACATCCTCTGCCGTCAAGTCTTTTGGCCCAGGAATGAACACTCCATACTTCGAGAACCTGTCCACCACAACCATGATGCAACCGCAACCATCGACTTTGGGAAGTCCGATGATGAAGTCCATGCTTACACTCTCCCATGGTCGTTGAGGCGTGGGCAAGGGCTCTAGCAAGCCTTCCTGGCTTCTCTGCTCCATCTTGCCTTGTTGGCACACAAGACAAGTCTTCACATACATCTCCACGTCGTCTCTCATACGCGGCCAGAAGTACGCTTCTTCGATGAGCGCTTGCGTTCTCTCGATGCTGGGATGTCATGCCCACTTGGAATCATGGCACTCCTTCATGATCTCCTTTCTCAAGTTGGCCCATCTTGGCACGAACACCCGCTCTCCCTTGGTCATGATGAGCCCATCCTTCATCCAAAACCGTTGAGTCTTACCTTGCTTGATGTACTCCGCTACGGTTTTGGCGAAGGGGTCATGGCCAAGGCCTTCGACGATCAGCTCCTTCAAAGGAAACATGGGCTGGCTGATGCTTGCGGCTGCACTCTTGCGGCTGCACTCTTGCAACGGAATTCGCCTTTCCTGGATTATACTCCATGACGAAGTCAAACTCGGCCAAAAAGTCTTGCCAACTCGCTTGCTTAGGGGTGAGCTTCTTCTGCGTCAGAAAGTAGCTCGTTGCCACGTTGTCCGTCTTCACTACGAACTTTGACCCCAACAAGTAGTGCCTCCATGTGCGCAAGCAATGCACCACGGCCGTCATCTCCTTCTCTTGGACGGTGTATCGCCTCTCCGTCTCGCTGAGCTTCCTACTCTCGAAGGCAATGGGATGCCCATCTTGCATCAACACACCTCCAATCGCGAAGTGGGATGCATCGGTCTGCACTTCGTAGGCCAAAGTCGGGTTGGGGAGCACGAGCACGGGCTCCTTCATCACCGCTGCCTTCAATGCCTCGAATGCTTCTTGGCACCTTTCCGACCAATCCCACGCCTTGTTCTTCTTCAAGAGATCCGTCAAGGGTGCTGCAATGTTGGAGTAGCCCTTGATAAACCTCCGATAGTAGTTGGCAAGGCCAAGGAATGACCGCAACTCTGGAACCTTCGTCGGCGGCTCCTATTCTTGGATTGCCTGCACCTTCGCCCCATCCATCTTCAACTTGCCTCCACCAATGATGTGCCCCAAGAATGGAACCTCCGTGGCGGCAAATGTGCACTTCTCCCTCTTGACGTACAACTCGTTGTCGCGAAGGACTTGGAAGACTTGGCGTAGATGCTCGGCATGCTCATCGAGTGTTTTGATATACACGACGATGTCATCCAAGTAGACCATGACAAACCGGTCCAAGAATGGCTCGAACACTTGATTCATCAAAGTGCAAAACGTGGCTGGTGCGTTGGTGAGACCGAACGGCATCACAAGAAACTAATAAGAGCCATACCTCGTCACAGAAGCCGTCTTTGGCTCGTTGCCCTCTGCTATCCGTACTTGATAGTAGCCCGAGCGAAGATCAAGCTTGGTGAACCACATCGCATCTCCAAGCTGGTCGAACAAGTCGGCAATGTTGGGAATTGGCCACTTGTTCTTCACCGTCAACTTGTTGATGGCTCTATAGTCGATGCACATCCGCAACGACCCTTCCTTCTTCTTTTGGAACAGCACCGGTGCTCCAAAAGGTGACTTCGATGGCCGCATGTAGCCTGCATCCACCAAGTCCTTGAGCTGCCTCCACAACTCTTCTAACTCCGGTGGCGACATGCGGTATGGTGCTCGCGAAGGGGGCTTCGCTCCTGGCTCCAACTCGATCTTGTGGTCCACCTCTCTTCTTGGTGGCAGCTTCTTGGGAAACTCCGATGGCATCACGTCATCGAACTCTTCGAGGACGCCTTCGATGATGGGAGTTGTGATTCCCGTTGAGCCTCCTTCTTCCTCCATTTTCAAGGACACAAGAAAGGTTGGATCATTCTTCTTGAACCCATTCAATACCTGCATGGCCGATAGAGCACTATGGGGGCCATCTTCTCTCAAGAGATGGACCGCATGAAACTCCCCTTCCTTCTCCAAGCACATCGTGTTGGAGTTGGGCTTCAAGAGCACTCCCTCCTTGTCGAGAAAGTTGATGCCGAGGATGACTGGGTGATCATCCATGGTGATGATGGAAAAGTCGATGAGGCCTTCCCACTCGCCAAGCTTCACTGGCACGTTGTGAGCAACTCCATGGATTGGGATGGACTTCGAGTTGATCGTCTTGAGCCTCCCTTGCCCCTTCTCGTAGGCAATACCCAGCCGGTTTGCCTCCTCGATGCAAAGGAAGTTCTCCATGGCACCGATATCCACCAAGGCTTTTGACTCGCCTTGCATGAATTGCGCCAGAACGTAGCACCTCCCACGCTTGCTCTCCTTGACGTCGGTCTTCACCGCGCCAAGCTTGCGGATTGAGCCAATCTTGGCCTCCGCCGTTGCCTTGGGCTCTTCATATTGAGCTTCCATGGCCGCCAATCTCTCCCTCCTTGGGCAATCCCGCACTCGATGTGGTCCGTCGCAAAGGAAACAAGATACGGGCTTTGGTTCGTATTTACCCCCTTTGCTTGAACTACCTTGGTGTTGTTGAGTGCGAGTCCCTTCCTTGAAAGGCTTCTGCTGTTCTCCACCCTTGTTGGGCTTTGAACTCTTCTCTTTGTCGCTGCTCTCTTGCCTTTTGTACTCAACAAAAGACTCCGCCGTGGCCATGGCAGTTGCAAGATCTTGCACTCCTCGACATTGCATCTCCATCTTGACCCATGGTTGCAGCGCATCAAGAAAGCCGTGCATGACCTCCTTGTCCGTGATGTCCGGGATCTCTAGAAGCAGCTCCGAGAATCTTTCACATATTCTCGAACTCCACCCCTCTAGGTGAGTCTTCTCAACTTCGAACGGGCTTCAAACTCCATGTTCTCTGGGTAGAACTGCTTCTTGATTTCTCTCTTGAAATCTTCCCACGTTACCATCACACACGTACCCCTTTCGACGTTCGCTTCACGTCACCTCCACCACACCATGGCAACATCAACCAAGTAAAGTGGAGCGGTACGGAGTTTTACCTCATCCTCTTGAATGCCGGACGCCTTGAAGTACTGCTCAAGACTCCAAAGGAAGTTCTCTAACTCCCTCGCGTTCCTTGAACCTCCGAAGTTCTTCGGTCTTGGAACTTCAGCACGTGGGACGGATTGCACCGGGGCTGGTCCGCTAGCCATGGCTCTCTTCACGAGAGTGACCTCACTCTTGAGGTCTGCAATCTCCTCCTTCACGCCGACCAGCTTAGCCTGGACATGCCCTTTCACAACTGCAATGGCGGTGCTCATGGTTTCGGAGATGGTGTTGGTGATGAGAGCCACGAGCTCCTCTCGCATCCCATCATGGTTGATCTCCAAGCTCGTCAATCGACCAGCCATTCCTTGAACATCGCTTTGGACTTGGACGGTCAAGAAAGCCGTGCATGGCCTCCTTGTCCGTGATGTCACGACCTTACTCCCATCTTGGCAGTGACGTGGCGCGTTGACCGTTAGTCAACGCGTTTGACCGTCCAAGTTAACGGTCAAACATCGGGTTTGGCCAAATTGTTTATTTTGGTGTATAGTTCGGGCCATGATGTTATAGATCGAAAAGATTGGTCAGGATGTTTATTTTGGTCAAAGTTCAGGCCATACGAAAATATTAACCCTATAAATAAATAATTAATTTAATTAAAACTAATATCTAAACAATTTATTCAAAAATACCCGTGTCCTCTTTTAAACAAGAATTAGCTTGTAGTGTAGTGGTAAAATATTTTTAATCAACCTAGAGGTCATGAGTTCAATCCTTAGATTCTATATATTTTGGGATTTTTTTTTACTCCCGAAAGTACCAGTGTCACAGGACACTGCCCGGACCCCCTGCCTCCGCCTCTGTGTATAGCAATATAATCCTAATAATAAGAATAATTATTGTTGTATTAGTCTTTATAATAACATAATTGTAAAAAACATTTTGATAATATAAAAATGTGGGTTATGTTCATAAAAGAATGGACACCCCAACTGGATTGAGTTTTTTCACTTGAAAAATCAGGTGTATTTTACCTAGCATTTTAACGAATGCTCTCGTTAGGTTGGATTTGAGTTCGGAATAACCCGAGTCAATCTTAGCCATTGTCATCCTGCTCGGACCCCCTGCCTCCGCCTTTGTGTATAGCAACATAATCCTAATAATAAGAATAATTATTGTTGTATTAGTCTTTATAATAACATAATTTTAAAAAACATTTTGATAATATAAAAATATGGGTTATGTTCATAAAAGAATGAACACCCCAACTGGATTAGAGTTTTTTCACTTAGAAAAATCAGGTGTATTTTACCTAGCCTTTTAACAAATGCTCTCGTTAGGTAGGATTTGAGTTCGGAATAACCAGAGTCAATCTTAGTCATTGCCATCCTGCTCGGACCCCCTGCCTCCGTCTTTGTGTATAGCAACATAATCCTAATAATAAGAATAATTATTGTGGTATTAGTCTTTATAATAACATAATTGTAAAAAAAAAAATTGATAATATAAAAATGTGGGTTATGTTCATGAAAGAATGGACACCCCAACTCGATTGAGTTTTTTCACTTAGAAAAACTAGGTATATTTTACCGAGCCTTTTTAAGAATGCTCATTAAGAATGCTCTCGTTAGGTTGGATTTGAGTTAGGAATAACCCGAGTCAATCTTAGCCATTGCCATCCCTACCTGTGCTAATTAATGAAAATAGAATGCTTCTATTGAACGTTTTAATTGTGGAAAGAAAAGCTTAGAAACATCTAGAAAAAAGGAAGTTTAGAAACCATGGTCTACAAAACTGTACCGGAGACCAAATCGGAAAAGTTAACGGTAGGATATTTTATGGTATAATCGTATTTTAATCACAGTTCAACCGTTAGTATCGTAAAATACTACCTATCGATTTAGCCTCCAATACTGATATTTTGTGGTTGAACCGTCAGTACAATACGATTTTATGTACCACGTTAGAAACAGAGTCAGTTTCTGAGTTCGGAAAACAGAGGAAAGCAAAACCTATCTTGTTGGCCGGGTGTATTATATATTTGGGGCTCCATTTTGTTGTTAATTACATAGAGTTAGCATGCTCATTCTTAGAGCATCCACATTAGTATTGCATTCTCAATTACAAAACTGACATGACATAAGTGTTTGCAATTCCCAAACCAATTGCATTGATGTGGCTACCAATTCCATATTTGCAAGCTTGCAACAAATGCAATTCCGTATGCAAGTCAAAAAAGCCTAAAAAATGGGGATTTTTTATTTTATTTTATATTATTTTCTTTTCTCTTTTACTTAATTTTCTATAATTTAAACTTAATATTTAATTACATTTGCAATTGCAAGTTAATTGCATTGATATAGGTGAATGAAATGAATGTGATGTAGATTGCAAAAAATTTGAGTTGACAATAAAAAACACAAATACTGAAGGGATCGTTTGGAAGTTGCGATTGTTAAATAGATGTATTGTTGAGAATGCATGTATAATATTATACATGTATTGTCGAATTTGATGCTTTGTAGAATACAACGTTTGGTATGTGTGATTGTGTATGTCGCATCAGCTAAAAGCTGAGACAAAACAAACTCAACTCAACTATCTCAACAATCACAACTAAAAGTTGAGATATAACAATCACTCAAAATGAGTGATAGTTTCTGTCACATCATAGAAACAATCCATGTATTGTTTCTGCTAAAAAACAAAAAAAAACGATGCATTATAAACAATACATGCATAATGACAATCTCAACAAAACAATCACAACTTCCAAACGAACCAAATGTATTTCTTTTCCAATTTCATTAACTAAGTTAAACTCTGAATAGCCATAAAATTAACAGAAGAAGATTTAGCCCAGCCCAAGTAACTGGTAAGGGAAGAAAGACGACGGAATCCCTTCATTCTAAAATCTGCAGTCGTCCCCCTTCCCTCTCTCTTCTCATCACCCCTTTCCCTTCGCATATCACAGCTTTTTCTTCCAATCCCTAATCCTTTGATTGAAATCATTCTTCACTGCAGTGTCATCCTCATTGCCCGTCTCGTCCAGCTTTGACCTGGGTCCACCTGGTTCACCTAACTACCCTGTTCTAGCCGGTTTGGTCATATGGGTATCGGTTTCTTAGTTTTATGATCGGGCCTTCTCTGTTTCCAGTTTCAGCAGCACTTTCTGGAGGAGATAAAGAGGGAGAGAGGAATCAAATAGGAGGTGGGTAACGCCGAAACTTTGGCGGGAGTCACGTTATTCGCAGAGCCCTCTGTTCGGTTATTGTTGTAGGTAACAAATTCGCCCCACCAAACCAAAGAGACACGAGGGCCAGCACCGTCTTCTTCTTCTTCTTCTTTCCCACAGTATTCAGTACTCACAAACAAGTTCATAAATTGAACTGCCTCGCCATATTGTACAGACAATCAGAACATGCGAAGGGAAGGCTGCAGCCTATACCAGACTCCCCTCTTCTCCCTACAGCCGGAAACTGCTTCTCAGGTTCTTTCTCCGATTTCCTTGTTGCTTTTGCTGCTGCAATGGAGAATCTGCTTTAGTTTCTCGTCTTTGTTCTCTGCTTCAGTTTTTGGCGGTTTGGGTTCTTTGTCTGATTACCCTTCACCAGTTTTGACTTGAGCTTTGTGGTTTTACTTGTCGATTGGGTTGGGTTGTTGGATCCGAAAGAAATTTGCTGTCTTTATTCTGATTTTCTAGCTTTCATTTGGATTTTTGTGATGAATAAGATTGTTTTTTTTTTATCATGCTGTTCATTCTAGCACGTTAATAACTCAGATTTGCATTCTTGGGATAATCAGGGTAGGTATTTTTACGATTGATTCTGCTCTCTGATCCAAAAAGTGTGGGGGAAAATGGATAAAGCTAATGATAGAGCCAGTGGGTTACTAGGCAGATTAAGTGGTTTCATGAGGAGTTGCCTCTTCAGAGTCCTACGCATGGGTCCAATCCCAACCCATTACTCCTTCATAATGGATGGCAATCGACGTTACGCCAAGAAGGTGAACATGGGGGAAGGAGCTGGTCACAGGGCCGGTTTCTTCGCCCTAGTCTCGGTGCTCAAGTACTGCTACGAAGTCGGGGTGAAGTACATCTCCATCTACGCCTTCAGCATCGACAACTTCAAGAGGCGCCCCGATGAAGTCAAGACCATAATGGACTTGATCCTCGAGAAGATCGAGGGGCTTCTCGAGGAAGGCAGCATTGCAGATCAGTACGGTGTTAGGGTTTACTTTGTTGGAAACTTGAAGCTGTTGGACGAGCGAGTGAGGATCGCAGCTGAGAAAGTCATGGAGGCTACTGCACATAACACCAGGTGCGTGCTCTTGATCTGTATAGCTTACACTTCATGCGATGAGATTGTGAACTCGGTTAGAGAGTGTTGTAAGGATAAGTTGGAGGAGATCGAAGACAAAGAGGGCGGTGGTGGTGGGGTGGTGGTGAATGAGCATTCGGCTATACAGTTAGTGGACATTGAGAAGCACATGTACATGGGAGTAGCTCCCGATCCTGATGTCTTGTTGAGGACTTCAGGGGAGAAGAGGTTGAGCAATTATCAGCTGTGGCAGACGACTCATTGCACGCTTTATTCGCCCACAGCGTTATGGCCTGAGATCAGTCTGTTGCATGTGGTGTGGGGAATACTGAAGTTCCAACGGAGCTATGCTTACTTCGAGAAGAAGAAGAAGATGTTGTAGATTATGGAAGGTCTACGTATAGGGGCTCTCCTCTATTGTGTTGTAAGCTTGTTGGAAAATCTCTGCTCCTGATTTACCTCGAATAGAGTGCTCACGTTTGCATTCTGCATACAGGCAGTTTCTATAGATGATCGTTGATTCATGGTTGAGTTGAAGTTATATATGTGATGATAATAGCATCATTGGTTCTGTGCTTATTTTGTGAGAATGCTGAGAACAGTGAGATGGCTGAGACGATTGAAGGTATTCAATTGAGTTAGTGGGTTCTGAGAATATCAGCTTTTCCAGTTTCTTGAAGTCACTCTGCATTTTGCAGTTCTTCCATTTGATCATTTGGCTTCATTTGATCTTTCTTCTGAATGGCCATGGCTTGTAGTCAGTTAATATATTCTGAGGGTGAGAATTTGTGCAGATTATATCATTCAATACTTGCTTGCAAGCAACTTGCAAGTTCCAAACCTTTTTAAGATTCTTTTATATTATTTAAACTTATCGAAATACTAAAAATTAACCAAATGTTAACTTTCAGTTAGCAATTTTGTTGGTAATATTGATTTGACAACATAATACTGGTTTAGAAGAGACACATGAAGGTCAACATGGCAAAATTTTAGTATTTTAACTAAGAAAAGAGTTACAAAATTATTAATGATAACGTAAAAATGACTAATCTTTTGATGCATTACGAAAGATTTGGTTACTTAATAGCATTTTAATAGGTCTGGATATAATAAAATAACCTGAAAAAAATTTGGATGAAAAATAGACATTACCCATTTTTCTTTATTATAATCCGCGGTAGTGATGGCAATTTGAACCCGCCCTGCTAGTATTACCCGACCTGCAGTAGCGTGGGGCGAGGTATGGGTATCTACTTGAGACCTGCCGTGCCCCGTACCGCCCCCGTTCTAGGTCCATTTTATCTCCATTTCTTGCAGTATCTATATATATTTTTCCTATTTTGACTTTTCTTCAACTAGTTAGACTCGATCTTTCAACTTGTTAGACTCAATTATCCATCATATTATCACGATTTTGCATTCATAAAGTTTTTCCCCCCTTCGTTTTATTGTAGAATGTAAAATTTATGTGTATTTTTTTGTAAATAACATGTAAGATTAGGTCGACTCGTCCCGCCCCGTACCCACATAGGTTTAACCCGCCCCAACTCGCAGTAGTATGGGGCAAGAGTATTCTGTATTGAGAATTTGAGATACCCGTGCCCTATTGCCATCACTAATCCGCGGGTTAGATACATTCATAAATAGACTTGGGCCGAGAGATCGATCAGCCCATTTGTTAGAGAAGGCCCATGCCCGCTTTAGCGGAGGGAAAATGTAAAAACAGAAAAGTAGCAAGTTTGTTACTGGAATCAACTGATCAGGTAGATGAAAACCTTAAAAAAAAAACAAGCTGTTAAAATTTAGAGAGATCTCATCTCCACACAGAAACCAGAGGAAAGGTTCAAAAAAAAAAAAAAAATCAACAGTGAGAAAAGATGGCGTCGAGCGGAGCAGCGGGGCCGTTCTGGAGAGCGGCGGGGATGACGTACGTGAGCTACTCGAACAAGTGCGCGAGCATGGTGAGGAGCTGCCTCAAGGAGCCTCACAGGACCGAAGCCCTGGAGCGGGAGAAGGTTCATTTCTCCATCTCCAAATGGGTCGACGGAAAGCCAGAGAAACCTTGTAAGCTAATTTATTTACTCTCTCACTCTCTCTCATCGACGTTTCTCATTGTTCTTACGGTAAATTACGGTGATCTCTTTATTTTCTTTTTTCTTCTTCTACAGCGATCCGGGAGGAGATTGATTCGGGTTGTGGAAGATGAATTTAAATCGAGAAGCGAATCAAGCCTACTCTTTCTTTTCTTTTCGTACCAGAGAGATTCATTTGGCATGTTGTTAGCGTTGTTATCATCAGCAAATAATAACGAGAAATGTTCTCTCGTTCATTTATGTAAGTTTTGTTTCTTGATCGAAATCATTTAATTTTGCGATTTCTTTTGTCGCATCGTATTCGATTTGGCTTCCATAAAAAAAAAGTCTACCAACACCAGATCCGGATCCGAGCATAAACAGTTAAATTGTTGGTATTTCAATATAATAGAAGGTGTTCGTAATTTCAGGCCTTACAGGCAAGTTATACCACCGATTAAAACCATGCTTCGATGTTGAAATCGGGGACATATTTTGATTACAATTTCACTATCGGTATCTCACAAAGGGGTGTGCAACAATCCGAACATTAGGGGTGGGCATTGGGTGGGTCGGGTGGATTTTGACCATAAAATGCACCCTCCCGCGCTTAAACGGATTGATAATTTTTAACCCACCACCCACCCACATTTAGTCTCGGGTTGGGTCGGGCGGATGGTGGATGATTTGGGTGGGTTTGTGGGTTCACCCACATCACAATGTATATAATATAAAGGAGTCAACTTGACATGATAATAGGCGAAGAGAGTTATCTGGGGAAACAAGAAGATGAATATAGGGCGAAAAATGACGAATTAGTTCTTAAAATGGATAGAAATTCTATTATGAAAGAGTTTTCTACATATTGAGATGATTATCAGGTGCAAGGAACTAAGAAAAACAATTCCACAAAGGAAAGAGCAGTGATCTAGGCACAAGAAGTAGAGGAAAAAATAAAGGGAAGAAGAGGGGATCGCTATTTGGAAGGTTGGCTTTGAGGTTCAAACTCCAGGAGCAGTCCTAGTTTATGTCTAACGTCTCCACTCTCCCCTCTCTACCGCCGACGACTTTGATTCTTTTGTTGTTGGGTTGAGCGGGTCACCCGCGCACCCACCCACAACCCACCCACCACCCGGCGGATGGCTCCCAGCGCAACCCGTCACCCACCCATAGACCCACCCACTTAACGAAATTCGGGTCAAATGCGGGTGGATCGGCCCAAACCCGCGGATGATCCGCCCGCATGCCCAGCCCTACCGAACATAATCTAACGAAACTCACGAGTACCGCAACCTATTAGTAAAAAACATATTGTGTATAAGGACCATAACATTATTATATTCGGGGTGACCTGATCCAGTCCAAATATCAACTCGGTCCATTTTTCTTATACAATTCATAGGACTAGTGACTGGACCACATTTTATTCAGTCCGTATGATCCAAACATCGATTTGCTCAGTTACAATCCCGTACAAACCAAACCATTGCACACACCACTACCACCAACTCAATACCAATGCTATACTGGTTGAATCTGAGTACCATAATCAAGAAGAGAACACAGCAATGACAGCATACGGTAGAGATCCGAGTCAATAATAAGTTGAAAACAGAGAAGAAAAGAATGCTAGTATGCTACTGAAGAATTTGATTAGCTTGTGTATAAAAAGTAAGGACCGAGAGACAAAAAGATTACATGCCCCAATCATAAAATAGTGTGTAATTTCCTGGTAGAGGAACAAATTACAGCCTTTCTCCCCTCCTCAGTAGAGAAATAAATTACTATAGCAACAAAAAGAATCGATCACTCAAAGTGACCTGTGGTAGTAAAAATATCCGTTTCCCTCTTCTAAACCTCCATGACAACCAAGTAGTGGTTGATTCCTCCAAAATACCTTCATTTTGAACAGAGAGAACAGATTTGGAGAACTACTTTGTTTCTGCTCATACCTTTTCTTCAGCTTCCTCGGTGGCATCCGCCGAGTCTTCCTGCTTCTGGGCTTTGCTGCCGCCGTTCATGGAAACGCTGCGGCGCTCTTTCCCTCCGGGCCTAGCTGAGGCGTTGCCGTACCAGACCATCCCAGCCACGGCGATGATCATCCCGAAGACGACGTGCAGGTTCAGACCGTCCTTGCCGAAGAAGATGAATCCCAGAATCAGGACGAGGATGGTCTTCATGTGTCCCAGCACTTGGAACGACACGGCGGTGAACCTACCGATGCAGATGAACTGGCTCAGGTTCGTACCCACGGCGATGGTGCACGACAGAACTATGAACGCCTGTACCAGATATTAACACAAAAAAGCGGATGACGAATTAGATTCCCCCTGAACCATGAGAATCTTGAAGTGCCGTTAGGATGAGATCATACATACGAATATGCAACAATGTGTTCTGGAAAGACACGGGGAGCAAGCTGAAATATGTGGTTTAGTTTTGTATCAGGTTGGGCCGAGAAAAATGACGAATTGTCAGAAACGATGTATACTTAGAACTACAGGAAACATTCCCTGAATACTAAACTATGCCTTGAAGCTGTATGCATGATGCGCAATGACCATCTCTTGCATCGTCCGTCAGGAAAGAAAACCCCAGAAATCATCATTTCGTGCAAGCAAACTGTCGACAAATCTCTACACATAGTCTATTTCTAGCTTTGTTTGAACCAGAACTAGAAGATATGCACTCTTAACTGTGCAGTTTAGAGGTTCGTTCAGCTGAGAGGCCTAGAGCCATGGACAGGCACTCAATAAGATTACGAGAAAAACAAACACTTACTAGCATTGGCATTCCTATAAATGCTACTAAGATTAAGAAACCCACCACTACGATTATGTCTCTCCACTAGCGTTCAAGGTTCTACTGACAAGATATACATAAAAAGAGAGAGTTCGGTTTAAATCGCTTAAGCAACTCCCTATGACTTGGAAAATTAACTCTGGCGTACATGCCATACAATCTACCAATGGTTTTACAAAACACCAATTGGACACTTAATCCCTGTCCCCTAGACTAAACATCATGGACACTGATGGTTCTCTGGAAGTTTTTGTTCATGCATTTGTTGTTGTTTTTTTGTTTTTGTTTTTGCCCATCTAGATGGAGGTTTGACTAAATTGACATGCATACTTTAATTTGAATGATAATGGAGAGGGAGATAGAAGAATGGTTGCAGGCAACTCCTAGATTCATAGCAAGTGAAGTGATGAAACTTGAAAAACTCACCACAGATGTAAAACTGAAGGGATAGGCGTCCACTCTTTTACTCGTCAAAAAGTAGTCCACAAAGGGACCCACTAGCAGCAGAGATGAAGCTTGTGCTGGAGCAGTATGCCCCAACAAGTTGAAAGAACCTAGATTGTACCTCCGTTGTAGATAGTGTACATACTGCACAACAAAAACAAGAATACGAGTGTCCCAACTCTAGAATGTAAACAAAAACACTCCTACATTAACAAAAGTCAACCTTTAACTCAGCCCAAGTTGAGACTAGCCATGCTAGGTATGAACAGCTACTTACATATTGCTGCAGCGAAGTGCTCCAAACTGCTATTAAGGCAGCTATGAATCCTTTGGCATTAACGCTCACATCTGTAACAGTACAGACAGCAACTCCGAGAAGGACTACTAAGATGCTTAGTTTGGTGTCTCTTGAATATCGTACTTTATCCAAGACGACTTCCAGAAAACATGAAACAGGGATCATGCTTAGCTTTGCAATCTGATAAGTTTTGAAAGAAACAGAGGAACTTATTAGTTTCTAAATTTCATTATCATAATTATTAGCTTCTAAAATTCCGCAGAAGGATAGAGAGCACACAGTTTAGTAGTTCAACAAAGCCTCACCTGATAAAATCCAACTGAGTTCCACATTAGACTCACGTTCATACCAACGATGGAGAAGTTTGCAAAGAAAACAAACTTCAATAGGTCTCCCAATGGTAAATGAGACGGCTGGATGTATCCTAGCCATCTTAGGACAAGCGTTAACAAGGTCGTTGTGGCAAAATGAAGACCGGTTAGCGTTGTTGCTGCAAGCCATACCAAATTGAACAAAGAATATCAGACACATTCCAAAAAGACTAACAAGTTTCACCAATGAAGTAAGTATGAATCCGAAAACCCCATCATAATGATAGAAACACAGAACGGGACAGCTGCATATTTCAACCACAATAAAACCCGGCAAAGAAAGCATAGTTCTTTTCACCAACTGAGAGGAACCAAATTCCCTAAGCACTCTCATAAGAAGCAAAGTTACCATCGGTTGAAAGCCTTTAGTAGCAGAAGACTTACCAAAGCTAAAGCCATAGGTAGCCATGAGGGCTTTGTTGACGAGGATAATTCCAACAGAAGTGACGACATTGAACATCCATGAAGCTGCATCGAGAGATGCCTTCTTATCAGCTTTGCTTGGCGAAGACATCCTCCCTCTCCTTCTCTCTCGTCCACTTAAAGCTTTCTCGATGCTCGACGAAATTCCTCAGTCACAACAGATCGCTCTTCATGAGACTACGAGTGCGAATGTCTTTGAAAGATACCGCAGCAGAATATCTGCATTCACAATGACAAATTCACCATCCGATTTCAAAGCCAAATTTGGAATTGAATCTCAGATTCAACTAAGGCTTCGTTTTAAGTAGTGATTGATCACGAAACAAGACTATAAAAAGAAAGAAGTCCAAACGAACACGCAAATCTACAGAGTCCTCAACCGGATCGCCATCGGAGAACTCCAGCGCTATTAAATAAAACCCTAAAAAGATCAATTTTACCGGCGAAAACGCAAACAGAAGAAACTCAGAAAGCACGCAAGTGCAAAGCGAAATACCTCATCTGAACAATTTAAGCGGAGTAGAGACTAGGAAGAGAAGGGGGGGGGGGGGGGGGGGGGGAACGCACAGAGAGAACTCAATCAATCCTGCGGGGAATTAGAACAAGAAAAAGGAAAGGTTTATCGCGCAAGGATCTGTCATCTGAATCGCGAGCTGGAGCGCAGAGAATCGATCGTGAAAGATCACAGTGCAATTTTCCCAGCCGAGATGAAGCAGATCCATCACTCGCCGGCGGCACAGCAGTAGGAAAATGAGTACGGAACTAAATCGGAAATCCAGCCGCCGGAAGGGGAATGATTCACGTCTCAATTTCAACACATGGAGATGCGAAACGGAAAGAGTAGCAGAGATCGCAAACATCCAGAGAAACGCCTAGGCAGCAGAACGGCATAGAAGACGAAGATGAAGAGAGAGTGAGAGAGAGAAGAAGAAGCACCTTTTCCGTTGAATTTGGAAGTAGCAACAAGCAGTAGCTTTTCAGCTCTCCCCTGAGTCGCCGCCGAAATAGGAAAGCCCCTCCGTCTCCCGTTCTGGCTCAGATTTTTCCCCGGGAACCGAACGTAGAGGGCAATGCGCGGAGAATTCAGGACGACGGGGTTTGACAAGGGAAGGAAACGGGGAGGCCTCGGGATTGACGGAGGTGGGATGGAGAGGAAGAAGAAGGAAGTGTGGGAGACGAAATCGCATGGAGCATGAGAGAGAGAGAAGAGAATGTTTTAAAAAGGACGAGAAAGGAAACAATAAAAACAGCAAAAAAAAAAAGGGAGTGGAAAAATCAAAATCCCAGCAGTTATTTTTGTGATTTGGGGAAAAAACTCATTCATGAATCATGAGTGAAGTTTCACTTTCGCCATTAATCACAAACAAGGAATATTTGTGGTACCGTGCTATATCAATGGCTGGAATATAAAAAACTTCAACATCGTTTTATAATTATGATTGCTTTGGTCGATATTATATTGATATATTATCACTAAAATTTATTTATGAAATTTGATTAACGGGTTTTGATGAAATTTGAAAATAGTTGTGTTCTTAAGTCTCCAAGCATAATTTTTCGTTATCACTTCTAGCCCACAACAATAAGCCTCATTCTCCGCTTCTCTCTCTAAGTCGTTAAGCTCAGGGAACGGTTCCCGCTTACTGCGCTCCCTGTCGGCGGAGTTCTCTCCGGTGGGCACTTTTCGCCGCTGAAATCTTCTTCTTTTCTTCTTATGCTCCTCGTAATGGCGAGGGAACGCTCCTAGGCAGATCTCTTTGGTATTGCAGAGGAGAATCATTTGGTCTACATCGAGCCTGATATCGTGGGTGGAGGGCTCTGTATCCTTGCAGAGCTCGAAGACGAAGGCATTGCTCACTGGCAGCATTGTCTGGTAGGTTAGTTTCTCTCCTCCTCTCCGCATATCAAGCAAGTCCAGTCCTGGGCGAATACGGGTTGTGGGGCAAGAAAGGATCGATTAGAGTTTCTTGGTTAGGGCACCACCTATTGCTGTTTCAGTTTCCAACGGACTAGATAGCGCACTAGGTATTTACAAGCGGCCCTTTGTGTCAGAACAGAAGCGTGCAATCGACAATCCAAATCAAAACGAACGAACACAAATTTAACGTGGTTCACTAACACAATGTGTGCTAGCGAATCCACGGGCAGAGGAGACAAATTTCACTAATTTGAGGAGAGTACAGGTTACAAACCAAATTCCAAATGGACAAACCAAACAAACTAACCTGACTGACCTTACTACAGACTAGGGTGATGAAGAGTATTTATAGAACTCTTCTCCTAATCCCAAACAGAAAACCAAATACCTTTTCCCAAACATACAAGGAAAAGGCCAAAACAAAACCCAATCCCAAACCTAAACAGAATAGGCCTAAATACAAAACAAACCCAAATCAAATCCAAGTCATATTCTAACAATCTCCACCTTGACTTGAATTCTCTCCCAAATACCAAATATACCAGACGCAGCCAAAGTTGCCAGATGTACCAGATGCAACCAAAGTTGCCAAATGTACCCAGACGGGATACATATCGCCAAACTCAAACGCGATGCAAATCGCCAAACTCAGATGCAATCAGAATTGCCAAACGTACTAACTCCTCCAAATCAGCTGTACCAGAATCTCCCCTGCCTCCAAATGGCCCTAAGGGCGGTCAACAACTCAAACCATTCGGCAAATCCAATCCATATTGAGATTTGCCATTCGGAACCAGCTTGGTGCACTTATCACCAACAGAACATGTCAAAACAGAACCTTGTAAACTATACAAGGCACCACGCTTGACACCTTTCAAAATCACCTTAGAACCTTTGTAGACAGACAACACTCCACCTTCACCTTTGAAACTGAAACCCTTGCTGTCGAGTAAACTCAAAGATATCAGATTCTTAGTCATGTCTGGAATATGCCTAACATTAGTCAAGGTGCGAACAGAACCATCATGTGTCCTTATCCTGACGGAGCCTCTTCCAACAATCTTACAGATAGCACCATTGGCCATAGAAACATGTCCTCCATCTATCTGCTCATAAGTTGAAAAACACTCCCTGCTTGGACACATATGATAATCAGCTGCAGTATCCAAATACCACACATCCCGATGATGTACATGTTCATTCACAGCTAAGGCTAAACCATCTTCAGAATCAGAGTTAGTTTCTTCTGCCACAGCAGCAGATGATTCCTTCTTCTCCTAATATTTCTTCAGTTTAGGACAATCAAATTTCCAATGTCCTTTCTCCTTGCAGTAATGACAGATATCATCCTTCAAACCAGCAGAATTCGAATTTGTATTCGCCTTCCTATTACCAGATTGTTGTCTCCTACTACTAGTAGCAGCCAACCCAGATGCCTGATTTTCTGAACATGAACCAGACGTCTTATGTCGAACCTCCCTAGTATGTAGAGCAGATCTGACATCTTCCAAAGACAAACTATCTTTCCCAGCAATAAAAGAATCCACAAAATTCTCATATGACTGTGGCAAAGATACTAACAGAATTAAGGCAGCATCCTCATCATCTACTTTAACATCAATATTCCGCAGATCTAACAAGATAGTATTGAGTTGATCTAGATGATTCCTGAGAGGCGTACCTTCCTCCATACGCAAACTGAACAAACGTTGCTTCATATGAAACTTGTTGGTTAAAGACTTTGTCATGTATAGACTTTCAAGCTTCAACCACAAGCCCGCGACAGTCTTCTCAGTAGCAACCTCAGTGATGATGACATCAGCCAAACAAAGCAAGATTGTAGAGTGAACTTTCTCCTCCAAAGTAATCCACTCTTCTTCATCTATGCTTTCCTTCTTCGATTTTCCAGACAACGGAGCCCACAAACCCTGTTGTTTCAACAGTGCTTGCATCTTGATCTGCCACAAACTGAAACTGTTTCTTCCTGTAAACTTCTCAATCTTCATACTGATAGCAGCCATCCTTACTATGAAACAAACTCCAACCAAACTTCTCACCAAAAAATCGAGACCAAAACACAACTACCCAAAGTCAACTTCAAAGCGATTCCTCCACCGAACCAAGCTGAAGAATTGAAAGCTACCTCCACAAAGCAAAACTTCAGTCCAACGCCAAATTCCCAAAACCGCAACCAAAGGCTCTGATACCACTTGTCAGAACAGAAGCGTGCAATCGACAATCCAAATCAAAACGAACGAACACAAATTTAACGTGGTTCACTAACACAATGTGTGCTAGCTAATCCACGGGCAGAGGAGACAAATTTCAATAATTTGAGGAGAGTACAGGTTACAAACCAAATTCCAAATGGACAAACCAAACAAACTAACCTGACTGACCTTACTACAGACTAGGGTGATGAAGAGTGTTTATAGAACTCTTCTCCTAATCCCAAACAGAAAACCAAATACCTTTTCCCAAACATACAAGGAAAAGGCCAAAACAAAACCCAATCCCAAACCTAAACAGAATAGGCCTAAACACAAAACAAACCCAAATCAAATCCAAGTCATATTCTAACACTTTGCATCTTCATAACGACATGTGCTATCTCCGAAAATGGGTACCGGGGATCAGGCAGAGAGTCCTAAATGAACAATTCCACTGTGGGTGAAATTCATCGATCTACCGCTGGAGAACGTCACTGGAAGCATCCTAACTAGTCTACCTAGTATGATTGAGATGCCTTTGTGGTTTGATAAGTCGTCTTGAATTAGGCATAGGTTGGGATATCAAAAGGTGTGTGTGGAGGTTGGATTGAATACTGTGTTTTCGGAGTCATTGAAGCTTGTCCCAAATGGAAGGCCCGCTTTCCATGTCCAACCCAATATTGCAATAAGCCGATGGCTTGTGAGAAGTGTCGTCAGTTTGGGCATAACTGTGTTGAAGAAACTCCTATCCAACAGGTGGAGGTGAATCCTGCACAGCCGAATGAGGTGATCCTAGTTCGACAGGAGGAAGAGGTGGCAGTAACTTGTGTGAGAAGTGATGTTGGGGTGACTCTAGAGAGTAACACTGGGGATGTTGGTGGTCAGGGGGAATTGGTGAACGAAGAAGTTATCTTGCAGGACAAGTCTGGGGGGGGGGGGATTCAGGTGGTAGAGGTGACACCTGAGGAGGCAAGACTTCAATTGGCAGTAGATAATCTTGTCACATGCTTGGCTCCTGCTGGAGGTGTGAATTGGCAAGCTTCTAGTGTGATTCTCCCACCTGAATCTGACTTCCAGGCAGCCGTGGCTGATCATGGACTAGATACTTATCGTCAAATTCTTTTCAGACGCTATCATCACTGGATCAGTTTGATGTAGGGCCTCTTGTTGTCTCTCCCCTGAATAATTCTAAGGAGTTTCATGAACTGCAAGTAAGCATGGCACATCAGAAGGGCGGTAAGAAGAAGGTTGGGAGACCTTCAAAGAACAGTAAGAATGGTAAATGATAGTGTTGTCCTGGAATATGCGGGGCTTCAACAGTCCTGAAAAACGGGAAGAATTAGTGGAGATGGTTAAGAAGTATAAGGTAGATTTAGTAGCTATACTTGAAACAAAAATTAGAAAGGAGAAAATGCATGCTATAAAAGATAAGTGGTTTCCAGATTAGCAGGTGGAAGACATTTACTCAGTTGCTCAAGTAGGAAGAATGTGGGTCCTGTGGAGAGCAGAGTTAGCTTTTTCCATACTAGAAAGTGGGGATCAATTTGTTCATGGTGAGGTACAGGGGGGAGAGCAAATGCAAGTAACTTTGGTTTATAGCTCCAATGAGGTGAGGGAAAGACTAGACTTGTATCATAAGCTAAGAAGTGTGGTCGATAGGAGTAAGCCATGGATGGTAGTTGGTGATTTTAATGTTGTTGTTAGTAGTCAGGAAGCCTCTCGGGAAGACGATTTGGGGGACAACACTTCAGATTTTAATAACTGGATAACATATATGCAGCTGGAAGACCATAGGGTGGACGCACCTTGGTTCACCTAGTCTAACAAGCAACCTGCAAACCCATTAGCCAAGAGGTTGGAAAGGGCAATGATGAACACTGATTGGCTTAGCAAGTTCCCTCAAAGTGAAGTGAAGATCCTCCCCACTATCAGATCACTGTGGTGTCCTCATTCATACGGATACCCAAACTAAAACCCTCCCTAGGCCGTATAAGTACTTTAGCTTCCGGAGACAACACCCAGATTATGAGAGATTGGTCAAGGAAGGTTGGGATTTTCCTGCTAGGGGTTGTGCTATGTTTCGTCTATATAAGAAGCTAAAGCAAGTAAAAGCTCGATTGAAGAAACTAAACAGGGTCCACTATTCTTATATCCATGAGAGGTGCTTCTTGCAAAAGCATCCCTTGATGCAACACAAATTGAAGCCTTGGAGAATCTACTCCAGTCTCTTTTGAAGAAGAGAAGGAATGTAAGGTCCAGCTTCTTAAACTGCAGAAAGATGAAGAGAGTTTTTTAAGACAAAAGTCAATGCAAACTTGGTTAAAAGAAGGGGGACAAGAACTCAAGGTTTTTTCATAGTTTTGTGAAGTCGAGGAATAATAGAAACACCATTAGACAGTTAATCTCTGAAGAAGGGCAGACTATTACGGATGTTAAGGAAATAGGGGAGGAAGCTATTAAGTTCTACAAAAAGTTGTTGGGTGATAAAGATGCAGATGTCAAGAAATACCACATCAATATGATCAAAAAGCTCTTTATTCATCACCTTGCCCTTGAGATCACAAATTTATGTGATCCTATTTCATCTGAGGAAGTCAAAGCAGTGGTTTTTTGTATGCCAAGGGACAAAGCACCTGGACCAGACGGATTTACGGCTGAGTTCTTCTACATAATTGGGAGCTGGATGGAGGTCTTGTTTTTAAAGTTGTGCAAGATTTTTTCAACTCAGGAAGATTATTGAAGGAGGGCAATGGTACGATTCTTACCTTAACCCTA